TTATTTTCAATGAAACATACCATTGGTTATATTGAATCATTTCACCGAAAACCTACTATGCATATAATTATGGAATCCTTATACTCAATTTTCTTGCAAGTATTCATTTCCAATTACCAAGTTAAGCTAATAACATACAATCACAAGTTTTAAATCACCTAAAGAGTAAATCATTTACTTTGAGGCAATTCATCAAATAGTTGGTGTGCAACAGAATTTCTAATCCTTAAATATACATTATAACCATTCAATCTAGCCATAAACATAAATCCATACTCAACTATATTCAAAAATATCAAGAAGGGTTTCAAATCTTACCTTGATTGTAGAAAATGCAAAAGCAAAAAACAATAATGATGAACAGTGAAGAAAGTGAGAAATTGAAACTTTTGATCGGTGAAATCTAGACACAAATACCACAAAATACTTAGAATGGTGTAAGAAAGGGTGAAATTTGTGTATTGGAAGCTTGAATTAAAGAAAAAAATGGTTGGAGAGAAATGGGTGCTCAAAGAGAGTTTGGAGAGAAGTGAAAAAATGACCCAGCTCAAATGTTTAATTTCAAAATCTGGGCATTTTCGCTCAAGCGAAAACCAGTTCACTTAAGATTCACTTGAGCAAACAAAACAGAGAGAAACAAAGTATTTTCGCTTAAGCGAACAGTCTGTCGCTTGAGCGAAAAGTTTGTCGCTTGAGCGAAAGTACTTGAGCGAAATTTTTCGTTTAAGCGAAGAGAAAACAGAAATAAACAATGTAAATTCGCTTGAGCGAATAGTCTATCACTTGAGCGAATTTCAGTGAATTTTGACTGTTAACATGATGCTTAAATGCAGTGGCGGATCTTCTTGGGAACTGAGGGGGGCCGTGGCCCCCCCAAAATTTTGTAACTCCTATATAATTTATGATTTTGGCCCCCCCAAACTTAATGAACATTTATTATATTTACTTGTATATTTACAATTTTATCCTATCAGCCCCTCCTTAGTTTTGTAACTCTTATATAATTTATGATTTTGTCCCCCTCAAATTTAATGATCATTTAATATATTTAAGTATATATCTACAATTTTATCCTTTCACCCTTTCATCTTCTTTCTTCCTTTTGCATTTATTTATTATTTATTAATAATATATTATTTAGCCCTTCCAAGATCAATGGTCAAGATCCGCCACTCGCTCAAATGCAATTCAATGATAAATTAACAACCCAAACGTTTTCACATAAATCCAGCTTCAACATTATTAAAATTTGTTCATACTCAAATGATAATGCAATAAAAATTTAAATTGCAAAAAGAAAAGAAAACAAATAGAAAACACTGGGTTGCCTGCCAGGAGCGCTTGTTTAACGTCTTTAGCTCGACGTCTATTTGTTTTATGGCTCATGCAGGTGAGTGGTCAATGTGATCTATACGCATTCTCAATCCCTTGACTGTCCTTGTGGGAATGAATTTATTCTTTTCATTGCGAATAACTGTCATCCCAGGATTCACCTTGTGACTGTCAGAGATTGGGTAAATCATACCTGCTTCAAGAGGTTTCAATACATCTTTTTGAACAACTTCCTTCAGAGTCAGATTGAGATGTCTTTGGGGTTGTGCAACATGTTTGTAATCTTATTTTTCAGTTGAGATGAGTAACTCCTCCAAAGCATCTATTCTGAGACAATCTTTCTTGTCTTTCGGTTGTTGTACAACTTCAAACAGATTAAAATTAACTTCATTATCACCACTTATAATTTTTAACTTGCCCTTGTCAACACTATAATTACTTTGGCAGTTTTCATAAATGACCTTCCCAGGATCAATGGGACTTCCACATTTTCCTCCATGTCCATAATCACAAAATCAACAGGAAATATGAATTTATCCACTTTAACTAAAACATCTTCTGCTACTCCATAAGAAATCTTTATTGATCTGTTAGCCAGTTGCAGAGTCATTCTAGTTGGTCTAACATCCAAGTCTCCTATTCTTTTGAGCATAAGTAATGACATGAGGTTTATGCTGACCCCTAAACCAAGTAATGTTTTTTTCACCGATAATGCACCAATTGTGACTGGTATAGTGAAACTTCTAGGGTTTTTGGACTTTTGAGGCAATGATTTCTGAAATATAGTACTACACCCTGCCTCTGACTCCACTGTTTCATCAGTAAATATTCTTTTCTTAGTTAAGAGCTCTTTCATGAATTTAGCATATATTGGCATTTTCTCCATAACTTCCACAAAAGGTATATTGATCTGCAGTCTTTTGAATATATCTATAAACCTAGTGAATTGTCTTTCTTTGTCTATCTGTGAGGGAACCTTGGGATATGGTAACTTTTCTACAAATGGTTTTTGACTCCCTCCTTTTTCTATCTTTTATTTTTTCTCTCCCTCTTCGTTATTCTTATTAGAGATATGTCTTTCTTTATTATTCTCCTCTTCTTCTCCACCTTCAATTTCTCCTTCTTCATCTTCTTTTCTCAAAACTTCTTCAAAAGTTAGATTATCACTAATCTCCTTACCTACAACTTTTCCACTCCTTGTAGTTATTGAATTGCATTGCTCCCTGGGGTTGGTTTGTGTGTTGACTAAAAATTGTCCTCCTTGCTGCTCAGATAGTTGTTTAGTCAATTGACCCATCTGGGTCTCTAAATTTTTGAATGAAGCATCAGTATTTTCCTGACTAAACAAAGGAGCTTGCATGAATTTTTCTAAAGTGTCCTCCAATTTGCTTATTCTGTCATGCACTGGAGGATAATGTTGTTACTGATGTTGATATGGAGGTTCCTGATATGACTATTGCTGGTTTGGGAGTTGCTGATTAGATGGCTCAGCACCTTGTTTCCACCCAAAGTTCTGATTCTGATTCCCTCTCCATCCTTGTAAAAAATTGTTCTGATAATTATTGGGATTAGAGAAATTTGCTTGTCTTCCTTGACCACTATTACCTTAAGCACCCATATAATTAATTTCTTCTTGTTGTAGGTTGCCTTGGTCAGAGCAGTGTCCATTTGGATGATCACCTTCACAAAAGTCACAACTCATTTGTTGGTTAGGAGTGGATTGTACTGCATACATTTGTTGAGGGAGTTTCTCTATTTTCTGGTTCAATGCTTCAATCTGTTGGATTATAAGTTTATTCTGGGCTAAGATAGCATATGAGGTGCTAAGTTCAAGTACTATTTTCTTCTGAACTAGATGTATATCATGTTGGACATGTTGGTCTGTAGAGGCTAGTGCATCAATAATTCTTGTGGCATGTTCGATGTCTATATCCAGCATGGATCCTCCTGCTGCAGCATCTAATAACATCTTTGTATCAGGTCGCAGGCCAGTATAGAAAATATTTAACTGAACAATGTCTTCAAATCCATGATTTGGCATCTTCTCAACAGTGATTTAAATTTCTTCCATGCTTCACAAAAATGTTTATCTGCTCCTTGTCTGAAAGTAGATATGTCGGATTTTGCCTTGATGTAGCGGGATGATGGAAAAAATATGTTCAGGAACTTCTCTTCTACATTAACTCAGTTAGTCAAACTTTGATTAGGATGTGCCTTCAGCCACTCCTTTTGTCCTGCCAAACAAAGAAAAAGGAAATAATCTCAAATATGCATATTAAACATCTGTTTCTCTAAATATCATGGTACCAATCAACTCATAAAAAGTAGACAACTGAATGTAAGGATCTTCATGATCCATTCCAGTGAATTGATGAGTACTAATTAAACTTAAGAAACCTGACTTCATCTCCAATGTTTGGTTGGATGGTATTGCAATGCTGGAGAAGTGTCTCGGACCTTGCTGCATAACATAATCTCTGAGTGTTCTTCTAGGTGGATTTGAATTTAGATCTAGATTTGCTCCTTCCTCTGTCATGTCTTCTATGATTAGATCTAGTAAGTTGAGTGTAGGAGAAGGGTTAACAGATTTTCCTGTTGCTTGTTCTTGAGTTTCTCTTCTTCTTCTACCCCGGTTTCTACGAGCAGCCTTTTCAATCTCAGGATCAAATTCTAATTGATATGTAGATATCTGTCTTCTTAAATGCATAAACCAAAGAGTAACTCAAGCATAGATTAGCACAAGACAACAATTAAGTAAAATAAAACTAAAAAATAAAACAAAAACAGAAATGAAAATAAAATACTTAATAAGCTAAACAAAGAATTTCCAATGAATGCCGTTCTCCGGCAACGGCGCCATAAATGCTTGTTGAATTATTGGCAAGCGTACCAAAATTATCAATTGCAGTATAATATTTCGATTAAATAAAAATCGATCCTACGAGGAACAATTTCAATGGAAATTCCCTATTATATGCTTACTAAGTGAATTGAAATTAAATGACAAGGGATTGTAAATTGTTTAGAAAAGATTAATTAAAGGCATTTAGAATTAACTTCCTTTCTTTTCCCTCTTTTGCAATGACTATGTCCATTTAAGAACATCAATTAACCTAACAATATTGATGTCACCTACTCAAATCATCCATGTTGATTCCTCACACATGAAATTCATAAGAAAACCTAATAAATGTTGATTTCGCACACAATTAAGAGATTTTCCAGCATTAGGTTTAGGGTGTTAAGCAATTGATACATTCATTTCATTCCTGACAATTAATGTAACAAATATTCTTACCATGATCTAGTTTCAAGATATATTTTTCAATCATATCCCAAACATCAAGAATAAACATTCAAAAGTAGAAAGGATAAGAATAACAACATGAAAAATATAGATTAATATCTCAAAATATCATTAAGATACAAAAGAGTTCAAAGGAAGTGCATCAATCCCAAGAGAATGAAGTTAGTCACTCATGGTAGCCATTACAATGCTCCAAATGAGGAAGAAGTGAAGAATGAATGAAAATTGGACGAAACTCTCGCAGTAGTCGCGCATCTTCTCCCAAAACCTCCTCTTTTTTTCAAAACACATCTTATTTTTTTTATAGGAGAATTTGGGTCTCACGTCTTTCGCTCAAACGAAAACGTTCGCTCAAGCGAAAATGTTCGTTCAAGCAAAAAAGTGCTTGCTTGAGCGAGTAAGTTCGAGAGTGTTTTAACTAATTTTCGCTCAAACGAGAGTCTATCTCGCTCGAGCGACTTCCAAGTTAAAAATCTTTTTCTTTCTTTCAATTTTTGTTTCAATTATGTTGACAAATATGTTTCTTACTCTTATATCAAGATATTCTCAAATTCATCCTACATTGAGAGAAAAAATATATTAAAATTGACATAAATTAAGTAATTTTATAACTATTAAAAACATAATTATATCAACTTTTTACCACTTAACAATCATTTTATACCTTTTAAACATACCAAACTGTGTTGTGAAACTATTCCACAAATTTGTACATATAAAATAATTGATTATGTATGTATCTTATGGTTGTGACATCATTCTTTCTACCATGAGGAGACTTAACAATCTTAATAATTTTTCTCAATCACTTTTTCACTTTAATTTTTAAAAGCTTTGTTTTTACAAATATTTCAATTTTTTTAATCAATCAAAGATAGCCTATAGAACAATATAAATTAATATAATGAAAAACTTGTTACTAAAAAAATAGGAGTGTAAAAAGAACTATTTACAAAAATATATGATTTTTTTCTTCTTCTAAAAGAAGGTACGTACAAGGTAACCTTCAAAACCAATTTATAATTAAAAGCTAAATTAAGTTGATATTTTCTATGTTTTCTATGAATATTTCAAATTATTTTTTATTCTTAGTTTTTTTTTTTTAAATTGGACTCTTTTTAACCGTCCTAAAGTCACAATGATATGAGTTATGTAATCACTATAAAATAACAATAACTTATAAGAGTATCACTTAAAAGAAACAAAACCAGGTTATTAGCTCTTAGATTATGTATTAACCTTATATGCATATTTATAAAGATTAAAGTGCTTATTTAAAGAGCGTTTTTTTTTTTGACTTTTTTTTAATAATGTATTTGATAACAATGTATGACACTTTATGTATCACCCATAATATCATGAATAGTTTTAATTTATGTGAAATGAGTGATTAGGTAATTTGGGACATTATTTTTCTCATTAAAGTCAATTTAATGAGATTTTAGCTTAATTTAGATGAAAGTTGTCTTATATAATAATATGCATATATAATGTTTGATCACTATTTCATCAAATATCACTTAAAAATTATAAGATAAAATATATTAATTGATATAAAATAAATTATATATAATTTATTTATAATAAATAAAATTGTGTAAATTTCAACGCTTTCTGGTACATATAAATTTCATATTTGTAAATATTTTATCTGAGACGAATTTTGTTAAAATATCATTGATCTTGAATTAATCATAAGTCATTATATAAGTTTTCTTTTAAATTTTGATCAATAAAAAACTATATATTTTAATATATTTTATTCAATTATAATATACTGGATTATAAACAATATTACAAATAACTTTATTGTCATGCTATGTTGTGTAAATAAACAATTAAAGAGTCAAATCTTTATTGTATAAAATATTTTTCACAATATTTATATATATTAAATCATAAAATCCAATTCTTCAATTTTTTTAATAAATGATATATAAAACTAGAAATATATTTAAAGGTATAATATTAATATTCCAAAATAATTTGTGATTTCTAATATAATATATTTGACATTGTTATAAAATATAATAATATAATATTATATATCATAAATTTTTTTTTCTTAATACATATATTTGCTTTTATATAAACTAAAACTAATAATATTTATTCTTAATACAATATTTTCTTAATCATACAGTTACAATTGACATCTTTAATAAAATTATAATAATAACAAATATAAAATACGAGAAAAATAAATTATTCTTAAATTTCACGTTATAAATCAACAATTTAAATAAAAAAAATTAAAATTTATCCGCATCCCATAGTTAATTCCGAACAGCATACACAACATTTAGAATTCTATTCCTTTAAATAAACAAATCCATTAACCGATGTTTTCTTCTTATATCTTTAACTTTCAAAACCAAACATACACTATAAATAACCCCTCTGACAAACAATTATATACAAATATCACCACTTACATAAGCAATTCATAAAAATTCTTAATAAGGAACCAGATTTTGTTCGTATAAACAATACATGAAAATAATATTCCTATCATAGATAAATTATGAAGAACATTCTCAACTTGTTTCGAATAAAGGTGGTATAATACAACAAGAAAATATTTAATGAATAAATGTTAACATATATTTATACCGAATATATTTAATATAACAAAATTTAATAAATAAACAATATATACAATATTTAATGTAATAAAATCTCAATAATATATATCGTATTTAATGCAATAAAATCTAAAAAAATAAGTCATGCAATACAATCTTAAAAAAGTAAACGTTAAAATACACAATATTTAATACAATTAAATATGCCAAGATACTATGTATTAAACTTTAATACTTCTTACCATTTTTTTCTTTCAACTTCTAGCTAGTATAAAATGCATTAATTCAATAATAATAATAAAATTAATAATGACCAACTTCATTTTCAAGTAGATATATATACATCAATATAAATTGGTTATTAGAGAACACCACTAAATTTATAGCATAATTACATATTACTCATTTAATTGAAATTATTTTCATTATCAACTATTGAAATAGTGGTTAAAACAAATAAAATTATATTAAAATCTTAACATAACATATTCGGTCAACAATAGACAACAAATCCATCAATTAAAAAATTCTTGTGAAATATTGTTTTAAATTATTAATATATAATCAATTCTCTACAATAAGCAGAATCAGATGCATCAATTATTAAAATAACATGCATCCTCCAAATAAAAACACAGAAAATCAAGAATTTGAAATAAGATTTGCAACATATAATTCTAGGTGAGACCAAGTCATGTAATATTAAATATGAAAAGTGAATTATCTCGTGAAACAGCGACGTAAATATATAAAGGTTGAATAAATGAAGTCAACCAAACAAAGAAAAAAAGAGCGTTGAGTTACGTTTCAATACTAGAGGGAGACAATTTCTCCTGTTAATTTTTAAATCGAAGTTTTTAAAAATTAATAACAGGTAAGCCTTGGATTCTAAAAAATGTTTAAATAATTTTTAAAAAATCATACAATATACATTCAAACATTAAATCATATGACTGGTGACAATACTCGTTCTATATTTCTTTCTCCTAATATATATATATATATATATATATATATATATATATATTTATTTATTTATTTATTCTGACCTTCATGGTACTTAATCATACTTTCAAAAATTTTATAAGTTGAAGTCAAATAGTAAAAATATAAATATACGAATAAAATTGTATTCAATTTTTTATATTTAGAATGAACTTTGTTTGAATATCAATCATGTCAAACAAAAGACAGAAATTCAAAATGATTTTTTTTTTCAAATAAAGTATTTCCATGTTTATAGAGACACAAATTAATATGATTTTTTTGTTATGATAATGTATTTGTGCGGATGATTAAAATAATAAAAAATCATATATTAAATGAACAATTTTGAGACGGAAGAGGTTTTAAAAGTTTGAAATGGAAAACTTGAACACTGGAATCTTTCGCATTTTCAAATTAACATCAATTAATCTTATTTAGATGTATTTCTAATTTATACTAACACTGTTTATATCATTTTTTATAAAAAAATATTTTTATCATTTTTATTTTATAATTCATAATCTATCCATATTTATAATTATTTTTTTATAACCTATTTTGGGTTATTTAAAAAATAGAAAAAAAGTTATAATAATTTTTTATTATCAGAGAAAAATATAACAAATAAAATAACCATATAAGATAGATTTACAGGAAGGGAGAGAAATAAATAATAAAATAAAATAAAATTAAAAAAATAAGATAAATATAATAATTACAATACAAATACATAGATAAAGGAACTTTAACATGCATGTTTCTATTAGTTATTATAAAAAAATGTTTTTTAACAGTATTAAATAAAATTATTTTTATTAAATAAAATTTAATTATTTTAGTATATTAGTAATGAAGAAAAAAATATAATATAAGAAAAATAGTGTTTATAATATTATATATTTACAATAAAAGACAGAAAAAATATTAAATATATGATTTATTTTAAAAAAAAAATACTAGTATCCAGTAAAAATATTTGGTTGACTAGATATTGCTTGAGTATCCTAAAACTTGCTTGTAGTAGTAGATAAGTTTTGACAAACACACTCTTAGTTTGTATAGTAGTAAATCCTAAACTTTTATTTTTAATAATATTTATTAAAAAAAAAATTTAGGTGATATCTAACCAACAATAGAAACAATTTGAAATATCTTTTCAACTCAGAACACACAAGAACCATAGTGATATGGTGGTGTAAACTGGTCGCGTTTGTAGTCGGTTAATCGTTTTTGTGTAGTTTTTCTAAACTTTCCAAACAGTTCCTAATGCCCGTGCCATGCCTTGTGATGTGATTAAATTGCCGAAGACACAAAGAAGCGCGCACGGATCGCACTGAAGTCAATGGTCCAATCGTAATTGTTTTGAAACTCACAAGGGTATTAATGCGATTCCACACCATTAATTCAATGCGTTATGAGTTTTCTACTTCTCTTTTTTGCTTAATCGAAGGTGGGGGACAGTCTTGCACAGAGAAATAACATTGAAGGGGAGAGAGAGGAGAGAAGGAAAGAGAGAAGAGGGAGAGGAGAAAGTTCACGCACGCTGCTGTGTTGATGGCGGTTAGGGTTTCCTGTTGATCCCGCGAAACTTACTCTTTTGCTGTAATTGTTTTCCCTCTCATTCTCCTTCTCCTCAAAACCCTAATTCGAAGCCCCCAGGATTGAGTGTTCCCGCTCTGCTTCAATTCGAGTTGTTGCGATGGGAGCTCAAGAGAAATCACAGGCTAATACTAATTCGATGCAGGCAAGCTTCTCTGTTGTAATTCGAAACATTCTGTTTTGCCCTAGAATCTAGTCTCTGCAGATTTTTTGCTTTTTCGATGTTTGTTGGACTTCGCTTTTCGATTTAATTTATTGGAGCTTTTTGATGTACTCAAGTGTTAGCTTTGGATTGGTTTTCCTATGGTATTAGCCGGGTCCTGCTGTGCTTCCTTGGTTGCGTGAGTTGTTTTGGAAGTTTCTTTGTTATGCTATTCATTTTTTAAAGTGACGGATCCTTATGTATATAAGTGGTGGTTTGTATTGTAGCAAGTTCATCTCATAAGAAATTGACCTTTGAATCGTCTAGGACTAGTTACCAATTGAAACATGGTTAGGTACTTGCTGCTAATCGAGAATTGGGGTTTTTAGGTGCCAATTGAATTATCCTAGCAAGTAGGTTAGATATATACTTTTTGTGATAATAATATTTGGATATAATTTCTTGTAAATTATCCCCTGGAAATTATAGGATGTTAGAAATTGAATTGTAGGGTATGAATTTAGTTTTTACCTTAAGACCTTGTCATCCACTTGGAGGCTATCACAGTTGGGCTCATGCTCTTTTGTACTGTAGTTACTAGACAAAGATCCAGCAGCCTTGGAATGTTTGATTTGAGATTTTTGGATATGTGCAGACTTATTTGAGACAAAAATGAAATTTTGATAGATCCCAGGATTTTGGCTGCAATTTGGTTGGATAGTATTCTATATTCTCTCCGTTTGAATTTGTATCACTTACTGTTAATATGGGGAGGAGTGTTGGAAATTGTGCAGTTGCTGTATTGTCACTGGGCAGTGCACTAGTTATGGATTTGTGGTCCAATTTATAGTCTTATGATAATGTGTTGCTGTTAGCTTGGGGTTTACTAAGTGTGTTAGTGTTCTAATGTGGGGCATGTTCTAACTCTGATTACATTTGAATTTAAGTAGGATTCATTAATCATTTGGGAAATGATAAACAAAATTAAGAACATGATGCCTAATATCCTTTATGAGTCCCACAATGAGTAGAATAGGAAGCTCGATGTAGTAAACTATTAATGAAGCCACAGGAATTCACATGTTGTAAACTAATAAACAAATTTTGTATTAAAAGATCAGTACTCAAAGTTTATTTATCTTTTCAGTGCTTTAGTCTTGGTTTTATTGCAAAACACCCTTATTACGACCTAGGAAAGTAGATCATATGTTGTTAGTATTCTCGTGTGAGGGATAACTCTTGTTACATTTCGATAACATTTTTGTCGTGTGCCAATTTACTCAAACAGTTAGGATTAGCTTTTCAAAACAGCAAAATTTGTCTCATTAGATCTTTACAGCTTAACTTGAACAGGTACTTTAGTATTTCTTGGAGAGAAATTGTTGTGAAAGATCTTTGTTGATCAACTAGGAAGCCAAAACGTTATCCACTTGGTCTTCAGAACTGAAAGACAGTAATTGAATATTTTGTCTTGAGGATGCATAATAGTGAAGTGCTTCATATTAATTAGTACCAACATGGAATTTTTTTTTAATTATACTGTGCAATTTCAGATTATATGTTTTTTTCTTCTATGTTGTTCTTCTGATTTTGCTCCTACCAGTTTTGGAAGTTTGGGCATACATGTTTCATTTGCCTCATACAAAACATTTTCCTTTATGGCCTTTTCTGCATCTGCTAGTTGCTTCATATTCTTTCTAGCAGAATTTAAATTGTTTTTGAATCAAGACATTATAATTTAGTTATCAGAGCTTCAATAACATGAATAATAACTTCTTTCAAAGGACACAGCAGTTGCCCTGCTTCATATCTATGCAAGTAGTTTATTGGTTTTGTTTATACTTATATTGTTATACAATTTGTGTGTTTTGAAATTCTTACATGAAATATGCTCTTCTTATTAACCTTGCTTCTGTATTGCTATAGTGTGTAGTTGAGAAACACATGATAATTTCTTTTTACTTAATCTCTCTCCTAATTGTATTTCAGCGTGTCAAGGTATATCGTCTGAATGATGAAGGGAAATGGGATGACCAGGGTACAGGACACGTCACAGTTGATTATTTAGAGGTTTGTAAATCTCTGTAATTTTGATGAACCCTTCATTTGGGACATGACAGCTTTGATAATGGCATCATTTAATTCGTGTAGCTTATTACACCAACTGGAAAAAAGGCTTTCATTTACTTCTTGTTGCAGCTTTCACTAGTGATTGACTTGCCTATCACTAAGAAACCTTTAAAGGTTTTCCCTTGATTAGTGTTTAGATCGAGAATTCTTTTATTTAATATTAAATCAAATGATTTTTATATGTGGTATGTTGATCCTCTCAAAATTTGATTTCCTTGGAAAATTCCTCACTCATACATACTGCTAAGTTATGTTATTATTCGGTATGCTCATAGACTTTGAAGGTTGTTAAAATAAAGATCTTACTTAGGATTTGGAAGGGGGTTGTAGATTGAAAATCATGACAGAACATGGGTTAAGGTCCTGCAAAATTCATGATCTATTGTTCTTATATATATAGAGGAGGGATCCATTCCCTCTAAGTGTAAGAGCCAAAGACTTATTCTTCATTCTCACCATTCGTTTTTTGGTAATTTAATGATCCGAAATAATAACTCATCTTGCAATTAGATTACCAAAAAATGAATGGTGAGATTGAAGAGAAGTATTTAACTCCTACCTTGGAGTAAGTGGATCCCCTCTCATATATATATATATGTGTGTGTGTGTGTGTGTGTGTGTATCATTAATAAGAAAACAAAAAAACTTAAAGTCATTGAAAAATGCTTGCTTAAACTTAAATTAATTGTGTAGGAGGTTATACATATCCCAAAAACTAGTAACTCAAAGTATAAAGTTTTTGAAACTCAGGCACATAAATTAAAGTATATATATATAATTTATCATATTTAAAATGTTGTTATTGTAAAAAAAGTGACCCTCCATTTGATATTCCTTTGGTCCATCATCCAAATTCTCCAATTAGCAGCACTACTGATGTTCTTTGCACCTTTGTCTTGAACCAAGTCCTTCTTCAATTTGGAGCATCCCCATCCAAGTTGTCCTCATCCAAATCTTTGTTTTCTCCATCATCATTTTCTACAATGAGATACATGGATTACATTTATAGAGCTGATGATAAAACATGTTGAAATCTGTTACTATAACAGAGTACAGGTAATTAAATATATTTGAATAGTTGTTACAATCTTTTTGTTATCCTTTAATTGGTGAAAGTATTAATTTATTTGGTGAGATCTGCTTTCTTCTAATATCTGATTATCATTTCATCTTCTAATTTTCCCATGATAAAATATTTGTGATCTAGAGCTAATATGATTTGGGTATTAAAAAATATGTTCTCGGTAGGTATTGCTGCATGTAAATACATATAGTTTTTTCTTTTACTCTTAGACAAGCTTTGAGATTCCTTGCATTGAAAATAAATAAATTATAAATCTTAATGCAGCGATCAGAAGAGCTGGGCTTATTTGTTTATGATGAGGACGATAATGAGACCATACTTTTACATCGCATCAGTTCTGATGATATTTATAGGAAACAAGAAGGTAGTTGGTAGCTTTTATGCTTCTTCCCTCTTTTCTTAATAAAGAGAAGTTATCATTCATTAATGCTTTTGTTCATCAGATACAATCATCTCATGGAGAGATCCAGAATATGCTACAGAACTGGCACTTAGCTTTCAAGATCCTAGTGGTTGCTCTTACATATGGTTACAACTTAACTTATGATTGTCTACTAAGTTACATTTTCGTGGGTTTTGTTTCTGCCACTGGATATTGAGCTTAATTAACATAATGGTATTGTTCAGGGATCACATTTGCAATGTGCAGAGAAATATGCATTTTAATACATTAAATAGTAAGTAATGCAAATTTTAATCTTATTATCAGCTCTCTGTAGGATGAACTTCTGTTTTTAGTGTCATTATTTGAATTTTCAATGGATAACCTATGAAAATTATTTCCTAGTAGCTGGTTTTAGCTTCTGCAACAAAAAATGTATTATGTACTGCCCATTGTGCTGTTTATGTACTTTTTTATGGTTTTATTTACTAAATCTGATTATGTTTGCTGGATATCTCAGGTGAGCCATTTCATGGTGTCAACAGTGAACCAAGGGAGTTGCCTGCTGTTGAGCTGTCAACACTTCCTTTGATTCTAAAGGTTTTGGATATTCTGTTAATCTTCATGTTTTTGTTTATTTCTTTTTTAGAATAGTAACCATACACATATGTGTACCATTACACTTAATATATTTTTCTCAATTTTGTCTTTTGGTTTGCAGACTGTGGTTGACAGTGGCTTTGCAGATCAGTTGCGGCTTTCAGAACTGATATCAAGTGATGTAAGCTAACATAAAACTCTGGTAATTATGCATGTTTTGTCTTCATTGGGTACACCGGTGACCTTCATTCTGCATAATTTGGTGATCTCTCCTCTCATTCATTTAACTTTTGATATTTTGATTGCAAACCTGTGTTTTTTGTATAATGAGTTCTATATTTTCTAATGATGTTTTGGTGGCGAGTTTATCGTAATGGTGCATATCACAGGCCTAGGACAGTCCTTATCCCAGTTCCTATTATATAGTCAAAATCACTCTAATTTTAGCATCATAGTTGTTCACATAAAGCATGTGATAATGGTGCAATCAAGCTGTCACATAAATCACTCTAATTTCTGCTAGTATATTAGATATATGTTCATTCTTTTTCATTGGTGTTTATATTGCAGCAAGAGTTTTTTCGGAAGCTGATGGAAGTATTCAGAATGTGTGAAGACTTGGAAAATATTGATGGCCTTCATATGATTTTCAAAATAGTCAAAGGGATCGGTCAGTGTTCATTTCTACACCATTTTGATTTGGATCCTGATTTTCTTAATTATCTCTTCATTCATTCCAGTTATGTGTTTTCTACATTGCAGTTTTGCTAAATAGTCCATTGATTTTTGAGAGAATATTTAGTGATGACTTTATAGTGGACATTATTGGTGCCCTCGAGTGTAAGTGCATTCTTCAGAATTCTTTTCCCAATTAAGTGACATGAGCTATTTATGTTTAGCCTTTATGTCATGTCTATTCTCCTGAGGTTATACTTTAATATTTTTTAACAATTTGTTGGCTGTATTTAACCTTCCTTACCTGCAAATAGAGGTTTAATTTTGATGTACTTGATTTAGACAATTTCATTTCTTCATCCTTTCTCTCTACCTTTTCTGAACCACCTGTTTTAGCACTATGCAGATGATCCAGAGCTTCCTCATGTTCAACATCATCGTAAATTCTTAAAGGAGCATGTTGTTTTTAAGGAGGTATGATATGCTATTTCTTTTTTATTTTCAGAAAGCTGCAAAGTAGGTAGATTTTTACCCTCTAGATGTAGTGGGAATTTTTACCTGATATTAATTTTACCCATTTTCTGTTGTAGGCCATACCTATAAAAGATCCCATTGTGTTGTCAAAGATACATCAGACATATAGAGTTGGTTTTTTGAAGGTTTGGGGCTTTATTATGCCTTCCATTGCTGACTGCTTTCCTCTCAATGTGATTTTTACCTTCCCTTCTCACTTTCAGGATGTTGTTCTGGCTAGATTATTGGATGAGGGTGTTGGTGCAAATCTTAACGCTATAATACATTCAAACAATGCCTATGTAAGATTTGATTAACAAAGAATGAAGACATATCATTTAGTTTAGTGAATTTTGCCTTTATTGTTGTCTGCTATGTTACTTTTTAGGTTGTCTCTTTGTTGAAGGATGACAGTACATTTATCCAGGAGTTGTTTGCTAGGTTAAAATCACCCACCACGTCTCAAGAATCAAAGAAGAATTTGGTAAGCCATGTTGAAGATATTGTTGAATTTGCTTTTCTTTGTCTATACTTGGAGGAAAGCTATTCCCCTTGCAAGCCTCATCACCTCCCAATACAAGTTTTAGAAGAGGGTTGGGTTTTCATAACATTCCCTTCCTGTACATTTTGTACTCGAGTCATAGAGAACCCTTGAGTTTTGATTCTCTCCTCTTCCATCCCTATTATGATCACTCATCTAATAAACAAACTTACATATGGCAATGCTGCTGTACAATTGCATCATGATGTTATTTCATATTTGATTTGATTCCTGCTTGGTGATGTAGCTTATTACACATTTCAGTCATGTGGTTTTATCTGGTAAAATTTGCATTTTCACTTGTAAAAGAAATATAATCCCAGTAAATGGTCTCTGCTTTTCTGTTTCATTTACTCCTCCCAATCAGTTTATATGGTTAAAAACTTTGGAATATATAATTTTCTTGAGTCACGTTTTCCATTGTGGATCAAGGTAACTGGTGTGGAATGCTTGTGCTCCCATTTTTGATTTGATTGAACAATGCATGTGCTTTGTTACGGGACACTGGCTATTCCATTGGGGGTTCTCCTTTTCTACAGTCCTCAACTTGATCACAATTCTAAATGTACCAACCTGGATGTTCAAACCATGGAGAATGTGTTGCTATAAAGTTGTGTCTAAAGTATCATTTTTAGTTGCAGTGGTGCATTCACATCATCTGCCATTTTTACCTAGCTTTAATGAAAGAGAGATGGTTTACTGATAGAGTTCAGAGCAAAGTAGTCGGAACCAGTGTTACTAAAGCTGAGCTTGGTCAGCTGGACTGGTTTGACCAGGAACCAGGCCAATGATTGGTTCAGTTTATATAGTGGATTGTGTGCGCTAATGAATTGCACTGACATCATCAATCCATACTTAAAAAAACTGGTTTAATTCGTTTTTAGCAAACCAGAGTTCCTTGTGGTCAAGACCTTCTACATGGTGTAGTCATAGTGGTCAGACATAAGTACAATTGCCTGTATGTCAGCCACATTTTACAAGGATCCCTTGTCATGTGCAACTGCATCTAGTCAAACTTAAACCAGATTGAACTAGGGCAAACTATGCCTGAGCAAAGTAGAGGGTTTCTCATGGTGCAAGGTCTTTTGCAGTCATGTGGTCCAACTTTTGTTGGTTGCTACAGTAAGTGGTAAAAAATAGGTGCAAGCATGTCTGTAACTTCATGCTGTAGGCTCGTTGTCATGTCATGCATGCACAAGCGCAAATTACTATTAGGCTCTTGTGGCATATGTGCAAGTACAACAACAAAGTCTTGTCTCATTTACAACAATAACAACATTAAAGCCTTATCTAACTAGGAGACATTGATTACATAGATCAAATGATGCCAGTCAGCACAATTAAAATAAAACTAAAATAATGAAGTGCTATGTCTATTTTTCATGTTGCTTTTCTTCCAAAGAAGTCATGTAAATCAATCTGCATCATAACAGAGTAACATGGTTTACCTTGCTATTAGAATAGGGTCAATTCTGGTTTCTTTGTAACTTTTATCATATATTAAGGTTTTGGGAGTTCTTTCTATCTTGTATGGCTGTATTTCTGTAGTGGCAAATGTTAATACTGCCTTGTCTGACGCTCATAAATTTCCATAGATTTTTAATCTAAATAGTGTTTTCTTATGTGGGGTGGACAGGTGTATTTCTTGCATGAATTTTGTAGTTTGAGTAAGAGCTTGCAGATGGTCCAACAGCTTCGGCTTTTTAGGTATGTTACTTTTGAAGGTCTCGTTAGATATGGTCCAACGGCATGAATTTTGCTGCTAGTCTTTTATAATTGAATTTGGTTAAGGGTATTAAAAGAACATATGCTGCTTTCTTTTCCTCCACATATTTTGGAGTTATACAGTAGCTTTTAGTGGAAATAATTTTTCCTTAGGCTTCTATGAAGTATGTGATGGTGGGCCTAAGTAGAGAACGGGGAACACCTGAATAACAATTTGCGCACATTGCATGGTAATTTTGTGGACATGCTTTAGCTAGCTTTTGCTTGCCATATCACAGCTTATCAAGGAAAAGTTTGATACACTCTGATAAGTCATGTCTGTAGTAGCTTTTAACTTAAAGTATTGTAGGTAACCATTTATAACACTTTTTTGACTCGGAAAACTTGTACATGACTCATGCTGATTAGATTTGTATTGGCATTTATTTGTTCTAGCTCCGGGGATTTATTTAATCCCATTGGTTATTAATTTTAAACTCTGAATGTATGTAGGGATCTAATGAATGAAGGTATCTTTGATGTTGTCACCGATGTCTTGCAAAATCAAGACAAGAAGCTTGTGCTAACTGGGTATTGCACCCTTGTCAATTAGATCTTTGTAAAATTCACTAGACCATTGCATTTTGTACATTCCTTATGATTATTTTCTAATATGAAATCACTGTGATGGTTGCAGAACAGATATCCTTATTCTTTTCTTGAATCAAGATCCTAATCTCTTGCGATCCTATTTTGTTCGACAGGAAGGATTTGCGCTTCTAGGACTTTTGGTATGTTTTGTATGAAACTGAGTTCACATATTTTTTATACTTGACATTCATATGCAAAGATTATCAGAGATAAACATACTTGTAGGTGAACCATATATAATGTTCTCTGTTGCTAAACTGCAATTCTGAAACCAGAGATGTCAGTTGTGTTTTTTAGTGGAGTGTTTTGCATGTTTCCATGTATTAATGCTGCCAACTGTTGTAGGATAAATATGCGTAGTCTATTATAGTAAAACTGATGTAAGATATCAAAGAATGAATGCAAGGCATGGTATAGTCTTGCTAAAGGTTCAAAACCAAAGGACAGATATTAATGATTAAAACACCAGAGGACTGTTTTGAGAGTGTGAACTTACAAAAGTCACTGCGAAAAGTAAATATTGGGTGGGGGTTCTTGGAAAATAATTGGAAGATGGGGGGATAGGTTTAGATAGATAGAAAGGAATCTGAAGTACTCAAGCTTCAAAATAAGGCGAAGTTTGAATGTGTTTTAGTGTTTCTCTTTTTGTTTTTTTCAAGTCTGTTTTGCAAAACAATTCTACAAATTGTTTTTTGAAAAAGGAAAAGAAAAAAATAGCTCTGTTTGGCGAGTTTTAATAGGAGTTGTAGAAACCTTTTTTATTTTTTTAATTTGAAGACGTTTTTCTTATTTTTATATCTTAAAAGGACAAAACTCATACAGCATCTTTGGTAATTTACATTTTATTAAATGTATTGTATATTCCCAAGGTGAAACTCTAAATATGATTGGATAACTGCACCTATTGTACTTATGGTAGAGTAAGTTATCTCCTTTTTAATTTGTTGACAAAAACATACAGCCTAACATTTATTTATTCTTTTTTCAAAAGACTAAAAACTGTTTCTATTGACAGTTAGTAAACAAGATCTAAATATCCTTGAAATGAGTATTATTGTTTTTAAAGCCATCTTAATAGGATAAAGTGGAATTTGTTTCTAAATCCTATGTTTGGAAGCTACCCAAATTTGAAGACTCAGTTTGGTAGGAAATTTAGTGTGGAAAAATGCAGTTGCACACATACATGCACTCATATGCACAAAAGTAGCCAACGAAACTATTGCTTTTCAAGGTCTTGGATTGCATTTCTGGCAATATGGAAAAAATGATTCTGAAATTTAATACATTTTTGTTTAAATTATGAAAAAGACTCTGAAGTTTATTGAATCTTTCTTTGGTTAGAATACTTTTTAAATTTGAATTTCAACTTCATCTGTTTCTGACCCATAGAGTGTGTTTCCATCTTTTATCCTTTTATTCCCCATGTGTTCATTGACTTTTCTTTACTGTTTAATTAAGCTTTATATTGTGTTTATGTCTTCATGACCTTTTATTATTTTTGAGCATTTACATATCCTTTTTATAATTTACTTGCATTGTATCCACCTCTTTTAGATAATCTGAACTACACTTTGGGTTGAACTAATTCAAATCTAATTACTGGGAAGCAAAACGTTGAAGAGAAATTAGTTGTATGTATTATTGACTGAATTGTTCAAAAAGACTAGTGAGTTTCTGTTAACACGGCAATGGTTGTAACAGAGACTCAATAGTAAATCTGTTGTAAGTAACTGACCATGACAGTTGTAACACCTGACCATAACAGTTCTAACAGACAATTGGCTAACTAAATCAGCCACAACAACTGCTAACTGACTTCTATACTAACATCAACATTTTGTCTGATACAATGGAGTTATACAGTCACACATAATATGTGATATATAGATTCTATCCACTTTTTTTTCAATATTTATCAGTTGATTTTTAATATATCTAGTTATAGTTTGATGGGAAGGCTACTCATTTGCTATCTTTTACAGGTTAAAGGAATGCTAACAGATTTTGGGGACAACATGCACTGCCAGTTTCTTGAAATTCTTCGCAATTTATTGGATTCATGTACATTGTCTGGACCACAGGTTCATGTTTCTGCTATTTTCTGGAGCCTTTCATTTCTTACTTGTAACTTGCTGTTGTATGAACGTTATTTTTTTTTGACTGATGATATATTTATGTTTGTTATTTTTGTAATTAATTTTTAAGTGGAGGCCTAAAAGTTATCTACTCAATTCTTTGACTTTAAAATCTGCAATTTTATGTTTTGATATTTGTATATTTGCATCTATATACATTTTTATGTAGGTGTTTTATCTGACTGGGAAAATTTGTTGCTCAGTATTGTTATTATTTTATCTTTTTTCATCCATATTGGATGTTGCTATCAACTATCTTCCTTGTTAGGTTTTTGACGGAGGGTGTATTTTTCTAACTTATTGGTTGTAGCGTCGCATTTGGAATTGATTTATTTGTGTTTGCTTTTGCTATTTTAGATTTGAACGTTGTGTTCTAATGTATGGTATATTTAATCTTTGGACAGTGTAGTCATTTAAAATTAAATGTTGGGATTAAGTATTTTTATGGGAACTGAGTCCTTTTTTTTCTAGTTGACGAACCTTGATCGTGTGATCAGAGTGTGATTTACGGCGTGATGTGAAAGTTAGCAGCAGTTACATTTTATTTAATGTATAATAGGGGGATGGATGTGTTGTTCTCTGGTAATTTGGACTGTGAACTCATCTAAGAATTTTTTTGAATAAGAGACAGCAATTCTGCTGTTTTTTAATTTGTCATTCAAAATACTGTTTTTCACTTTATCAGCTGGTGCTCTATCAATTTTCTTGCTTTTGAGACAATGTTGTTTTTCTATCTTTTGTATTCTTTGTGTATGTTCCTTATACTAGGGTTAAGGATTTCGGCTGAGGTCCATATCCTTTTCGTTGTATCTCTTTTATGTATGAATACAATGTAACAGTGTCTTTAGATACTATACTAACAGGGCCTTTGGATACTGTATTGAAACCCTAAATAAGTTTCTCAAGTTTGGTTCGGTGAAGGTAGCCTCGAAAAGCACGACCCACCCTGCCAATCACTCCTCAATTTGCGACCCCATGCACCGTCACACACAACTTCTCCAAGCAGAGCTCCCAACGTGTGTGTTCCACTCGCTGCCTTTCAGTGGCCAGAATCAAGATCGATTACCACCGGTTGACTCGCCGACACTCTCTAAGTCTAGTGGTGCCCTTATTTTTCTACTTTGAGAACTTTGGAAGCTAGGTCACATGTGTACTCTATTGGTTAGATTTATTTTTCATCTCTGTTTCAGATAAATGACTTCATCTAGTGCTTTTTCTGCTACTCCCACAATAACCAGTGCCAAACTCAATTGGAAAAATTATCTATCTTGGTTTGTATCAGTTGAACTATGGTTTCTATGTCAGGGGTATCATGACCATTTGGAGAAAGATGTAAACTCTGTTTCTGCCTCAAAGAGATCTCAGTGGGAGAAAATAGACTTCCTGCTTTGTGATCTTATGGTAGTCTGTGGAACATGAGGTTCTTGAGCTTCTCAGGTCATTCAAAACTTGCTCTTCCTTTAGGAAAGGCTTAAGACATTTTTGCTAAAGATATTCAACGTCTCTTTGATGCAACTCAAAGAGTGACGTCTCTCAAACAGACAAATCATGACATGATGTCTTACATTGCAAAAGCTAGGGCTGTTGTGGAGGAATTAAAAAGGCTTCTTGTGGCAAACACCTTAGAGGAGTTAAACTCCAAACTAGATAAGTTGTATATGGTCCTAATTTTGAGGAGTCTGCACTCTGATTTTGATCATGCACGTGATCAAATCTTAGCTGGTGATCAGTTCAATCAATGGATAATCTTATCAGAAGGCTGATTCGAGTTGCAAATCTTATGACAGATGAGAATCAGGTGGAGACAATTGAAACTTCAATATGGTTGCTCCTCGTGTTTGAGGAGGAGGACGTGCAAATAAAAAAAGTCGTCTTCAATGTTTCGATTGCAAGAAAAAAGAAGGAAGTGAGTTAGACAAAAAGAGAAGAAACTTGGGAAAAAAAAGAAGTAACTTGGACAAAAATAAACAAAGTGACTTAGACAAGTCTTTTTTGTTGATAACCTCAGACCAATCAATCGAATATTGATTAATATGTAATCGATCAAACACTACTTGAAAATGGTTATTCTGCTTAGAAATGAAATAGTCTAAATATTCCTGGAAATTCTTGCTCCCATTGGACCAATGTAAGAAAGCTGTTATTCCTTACACGATTTTCTTGACAGGAATACCACTGTCCATGTTTCTAAGTTTGAAAAATTGGATTTGAAAATATTTGATGAGGAGTATTAAGAGTTTTTGAAGTTCAAATCAGGAAAATTCAATAACCAGGGTCAATCTTCTTCTATGCCTAGTGTTTCAACAACATGCATTTCTTAATTTGTGGAAGGTCAAAACCCATAGATTCTTGATTCAGGTGCCTCTGATTATATATCTGGTAACAATTCCACATTTTCCTCCATATCCTATCCTAAAATTCCTCATCTGGTTATTGTGGCTAATGGATTCAAATTAAAGCCATAAGGAATTGACCATGTTCCTTTAACCCCTTTGAATTTAATTCCTGTTCTTTCATTTCTAATTGTCCTTATATCTTGATTTCTCTAAGTCAATTGACTCGTTCTCTGAATTGTTCTGTAATCTTTAATTTCAATTCTTTTGTTATTTAAGAATATAGTATGAGTCGTCTGATTGGAGAAGGACATGGATCACGTGGTCTGTACTATCTAAATCCAAGTCCTTTAGTGTCATGTCTTGTCTCTCCTGCTCCTAAATATTTGCATGATTGTCTGGGTCATCCAAGTTTACCAAAGTTGAAAGTGATGACTCCTAATCTCAAACATCTTCGGGGTTTAGAATGTGAATCTTGCCAATTAGGAAAACATGTTAGATCTAACTTTCCTAAACACTATGAAACTCAATGTAATTTTTCTTTTTCAAATATTCATTTTGATGTTTGGGGATCGAGTCGTGTCTCTTCATTTGGCTTCCGCTATTTTGTAACTTCTATTGATGAATTTTTCAGATGTACTTGAGTTTGTTTAATGAAATACAACTATGAAATTTTGTCCATTTTTGTGTCCTTCACTGAAATTAAAAATCAATTTGGGAAAATAATTAAAGTTCTCATAAGTGATAATGTCAAAGATTAATTTTAAGCCTCCTTTTATTCTTTTTTATCTTCCCAAGGCATTTTACATCAGTCAACTTGTCCTCACACTCCACAGCAAAATGGTATTGCAGAAAGGAGAAATAGGCATCTTATTGAGATTGCACGCTCTCTAATGTTGAATGCCAATGTTCCTGATCATCATTGAGGAGATGCAGTTTTCACTGCTTGTTTTCTGATCGCATGCCATCTTCTTCTCTTCAAAATTAAATTTCTTATTCCCTTATCTTTCCTGATGATTCTCCTTATCATGTGTCTTCTCATGTATTTGGTTGTACCTGTTTTTTTTATATAATGTCTCTCCAGGTCTTTAAAAGTTAAGTGCTAAAGCCATTAAATGTGTCTTCTTGTGGTACTCTCGCCTGAAAAAAGGGTACAAATGTTATCCTCCATCCACCAAAAGGTATTACATGTCTGTTGTTGTCACCTTCTTGAAGAAACACCCTTTTTTTCTTCCCCCACGGAGGATGGTTCCTCTATTCAAAATGTTCCTCCTATGTCCTCATGTGATCCACTTATAATATCTGATCCTTCACTAATTCAACCTATAGGTTTCAATGATTCTCCTCCTCTTCTTATATATCACTATAGGACCCCCACCTACACCTTTACTAGATTTTGCAGATAATCATGATTCAGAACCTTCTCCATCAGTTTCTCATACCATGGATCCTTCGACCTTCTCTCCCACTTCTGATTCTGGATGGCCTATTGCACTCAGAAAAGATATTCATTCCTCTTGGAATCTCTTTCTTGTTTATAACTGTTTAAGTTACCATCGTTTGTCTCCTACCTATTCCTCCTTTGTTGTCTTTTATGCTGACACCACTATTCTTAATACTATCCATGAGAGCTTGTCCTTCTTCCTCTTGACAAAAAGGTTGTGGGTTGTCGGTGGGTCTATGTAATTAAAGTTGGTAATAATGGTAAAGTGAGTTGTCTTAAAGCTCGTCTAGTAGCTAAGACTACACTAAAATGTATGGCCTAGACTATTGTGATATCTTCTCTCCTGTAGCTAAGATTTCACTATTCGTCTTTTCCTTGTTATGACTGCTATTTGTTAATGGCCCCTTCACCAACCAGACATTAAAAATGCCTTTCTTCATGATGACCTTGAGGAAGAGATTTATATGGAGCAACCTCCTGACTTTGTTGCTCAGGGGGAGTCTGGTTTAGTGTGCAAGCTACACCGGTCATTGGCCCCTTCATCAACTGGACATTAAAAATGTCTTTCTTCATGGTGACCTTGAGAAAAAGATTTATATGGAGTAACCTCCCAACTTTGTTGCTCCCCCAACTTTGTTGCTCAGGGGGAGTATGGTTTAATGTGCAAGCTACACTGGTCTCTTTATGGCTTGAAGCAGTCACCCCGAGCTTGGTTTGGGAAATTCAGTCATGTTGTACAATTGTTTGGCTTGAAAAGGAGTGAAGTAGATCACTTAGTGTTTTATTGTCATTCCTTTTCAGGCAAGTGTATGTATGTTTATGTTGATGATATTGTTATTGCTAGTAATGATTATACTAAGATCAGTCAATTGAAGAATCATCTATTTGCTTACTTCCAAACCAAAGATCTTGATCAATTGAAGTATTTCCTTGGTATTGAAGTGGCTCAGTCAAAGGAAGGTGTGATCATCTCTCAAAGGAAGTATGCTCCTGATATTTCTGAAGGAGACAGGTTGTAAACCCATTGATACCCCAATAGACCCTAATTAGAAATTGATGGGAGATAAAGGAGAAGAGTTGTCAAACCCATAAAGATACAGGAGGTTGGTTGGTAAACTCATTTATCTTACTATTACCTGACCCTGACCTGATCTTTCTTATGCAATTGGAATAGTTAGCCAATTTATGCAAAATCCTTGTACTGATCATTGGGATGCCTTGATTCGCATTTTGAGATATGTTAAAGGGGCCCAGGACAATGATTGTTATATGAAGATAAGGGTAATACTCAAATTTTAGGTTATTGTGATGCAGGTTGGGTTGGTTGTCCCATTGATAGAAGATCTACTACTGGGTATTGCATATTTATTTGAGGGAATTTGATTTCTTGGAAGAGGAAAACACAGTGTTGTTGCTCAATTAGTGCAGAAGCTGAGTATAGATCTATATCATAGTGAACTTGTGTGGATCAAACAACTCCTTCAAGAATTAAAATTCTGTGATAATGGGCAGATGAAGTTATTTTGTGATAATTAGGCAGCTCTCTATATTGCCTCTAACCCAGTGCTTCATGAAAGAACAAAGCATATCGAGATTGATTGTGATTTTGTTAGAGAAAAGTTAGTCTCTAAGGAACTTGTAACTGAATTTGTAGGCGTCAATGAGTAACTGGAGGACATTTTAACTAAATCCTTGAGAGGTCTAAGGATTCAGTTCATTTGTTCCAAGCTTCGTTCATACAATCTATATGTTCCAGCTTGAGGGGAATGTTGAGACATGTTTTTCTATCTTTTTTTTCTTTGTGTATGTTCCTTATACTAGGGTTAAGGGTTTGGGCTAAGGCCTATATCCTCTTTGTTGTATCTCCTTTATCTATAAATATAATGTAACATTGCTTTTATACATTATATTGAAACCCTAAATATGTTTCTCAAGTCTTGCCTTGCATTTGAAGTCAACATACTAAGTTTTGTTTGTGCAGGGATGAAATTTGAATGTTGAATTTTATATTATATTATATCTGCTGAATTGTTGGACAAACTTGTCAGTTAAAGTTTCATGTAAGATGAAAGTCTATTTCTATGTTTGTATGATAGGTATTTTTGAGTTTGTTTTATTGACTATTTTAGTTTTATCTGACAGAGGGACACTATTATTGATATATTCTTTGAGAGGCATTTGGGGCAATTGATTGAGGTTATTACAGCATCTTGTCCTTCAGAAAATACTTCTGGTGAAAGTGATAAATCAATAGGTCCTGGACGAAGTGTTCAGTGTCAGAATGAAACAAAGCCGGAGATACTATCGAACATATGTGAATTACTATGCTTTTGTGTCCTACATCATCCATACAGAATAAAGTATTTCTTTGTCTCTCTGCAGTATCAGTTGACTTTGTGCTGTTAAACATGAAAATTATGTTTATGGTTTTTCTTTGCTGTTTTTAGGTGTAACTTTCTTCTTAATAATGTATTTGAAAAAATATTGCTGTTGACACGAAGAGCTGAAAGATACTTAGTTGTTGGTGCTGTCCGGTTTGTTCGAACTATTCTGTCGCGCCATGTAAGTTTAACAGAAACCATGATTTTAAAATTAACATTCTAAATAATATTAATCTGATTTTATTACTGTACATTATGTAGACGGATGTCTATTATTACTTTCTTATGGTAGAGTTCAGTTAAAAGCTAAAATCTCCGAATAATGATTTTAAAATTAACATTCTAAATAATATTAATCTGATTTTATTACTGTACATTATATAGACGGATGTCTATTATTACTTTCTTATGATAGAGTTCAGTTAAAAGCTAAAAATCTCCGAATAAAAGTTGATTGAGAAATAAATCTGGGCACAGATAAATACTGGAAAGTAGAGGGTAACTCTCAACACTGTTTCATTATGAATTGTGGAGACAATGCAAATTGGTGCAAAAAGACAAGTTTTTACTTGTTTTTGCGGTATTTATCTCAGTTTTGTCAGCTGCCTTGGTGGCCTGGTTTGAAATTATGAGGGTTTCTGTCTTTTGTAATGGCATCTGCAATGGTAGCTGTATATCATGAAATGGACGTTTGCTGCTGTCAAAGCTTTGGATGAGTTCAATTTTTTGTAATTTTATTAAGCTTCATCATAATTATTTGATCTTGGAATTGTATCAAATGATTCCTTATTACCGAAGTGAATGTTTTTAAAAAACAGTTAATTTGCCTGACTTACTTGCATTTCGTCTAAGAGATTTGGAGTGTTAACCTGCAGGATGAGCATTTGATAAATTATGTTGTTAGGAATAATGTTCTCAAACCAATCATTGATGCCTTTGTTACTAATGGCAACCGCTACAATCTGCTCCATTCTGCTGTTCTAGACCTGTTTGAGTTTATTCGGAAGGTGTGAATCTTTAATTAGTATTCTGGATCTTAAAAGCCTTAAGCATGTTGAACTGATAACGTTGCATTGTACAGGAGAATCTGAAAGTATTGCTGAAATACATAGTTGATTCGTTTTGGGATCAGCTGATGAAATTTGAGTATTTGGCTTCAATTCACTCACTAAAAGTAAAATATGAGCAGGTAAGTCCTTTTCTTTATGAACATGACTTGTGGGTCAAACACAGGCTTGAATGTATGTGTTTGCTTGTAGTGTTTGGATAATGGTGGGATAAAAGATGCCGCTACTGTTGTGGACCTTCGAAGACGAAATGATGAGCGTGCTCTGGAGAGAGAAGAAGAACGGTACTTTAATGAGGACAGGTATACATATCTTTTTTTTTTTTTTTTTACCACCATTCTAGGAAATTTTCTGTTGTTTATACAACTAGCATGGGGTTTTACATTTTGATTGTTTGATCAGTGATGACGACGATGTTGCATCTGCATCTGTTCCGCGTAATCAAAAAGGACACCAGCAACCTAATCTATCCAACGGAGTAGCTGCAAGCTATTCACAGCTAAGGTAGACTTCGGTTTCTTAGTATTATGTTTAATTTTCTATGGTTCATATGCTATAAAATTATTTTTTCATGTTGGTTTTCAGTCCAAGGTCATTGGTTGACTACGAGGATGATGAGGACGATGAAGATTACAAGCCACCACCAAGGAAGCAGTCAGAAACTTCCGAGGAAGATGATGGCGTAATGGAGTCTCTCAGGCTGAAGAGGAAATTACCTTCAAAAGATAAGGAGCCTGAACTTGTTAAGAAACAGAAGTTATCAAAGAATCCTAAATCTAAAGATAATGTTTTTGCTGCCTTGTGTTCAACATTGAGCCAAGCTGTGCTACCTAGTAGTAAGAAAACATCGATCAACATTCAGACAAGTGCTCGAACAGTTGAGGGGAGGATGGGCTCAAGTGAAAATAATCAGGGAGATGTACAAAGTATTTCTAGAAGCAGCTCCGATGATAGCCACATTGCATTGGAAGACAATCACATTGAGAAAGAGGCTGAAGACTCTAGAAGCTTTTCTGATTGCTTGCATGCAAAATCAGAGAACATACAATTGGGTGGAGAGGAACGTCCATTGGTTGCCCCAAAGTCCTCACCGGAGATGGCTGTAAATGGATCATAAGCTTTCGGACTGGTGCAGGAAGCAGATTAGTTGTTTCGTTTGACGTATTGATTTGCTGGTGGGTAAGTGGTTCTGACTACATACGTAGAGCTTTGAGACGAAGGAAATTTACCAACAAGGGGGTAAAATTCTGCTTATGCGTTGCATCGAGGACGTGGGAATACTGTACAGTGCCACTAAGAGGCGGGGATATATTAATACAGCAACGTGGGTGTATATGCTCCAATTCTTCAGTTTGCTATTTGAGCTTAGTAGTTGTTTTTGTATGACATTCCTGAGAAATATTTTTCTTAATTTTCCCCTTCAAAATTTACCTCATCCAGCTCATTTATTTTCAAAGTTTCTGTCAGAGTATCCAAGGGGCGGATGAGGGGTTACCAAGTTATACTGTATCCCTTATCAGTATTTGAACTCGTGATAGAGGGCGCCAATATCTTGCCCTACATAGGTCTTCCATGTGTTTTTTCCTTTGTTTCGGTGGTGGGAATACGTGCTGCTGTGAGTATCTAAGGCCCATTTTTCACTAATGTAGGGAATTGTCAACCGTTGTAAATCTATTAATCTGTTGAGTAGTGCAAAGGACTCATCGAGTTTTTCTACATGGTAACTGGATTTTACGTTGGTTTGTTATTGCTTTTTGTAGCTGTGACCATGCATCGATCATGTATTTTTGTTTTCCGTATTATCCTGAAACTGCACTTTTGCAATAGACCAGCCTTTTTATGCTTTAAAGCTTGTCCTTTAGTTTGGATCGCTTGTGGTTTCACACCAACTTAACCGAACATTAGATTTGTGTGTACTGGGTTTTAGACTTATATTAAGTATGTCAGTAGTGCAACCAAGGGCGCGAAACTCAATTCAGTATTGAACTAGTCTAGTGACTAATTCCAAGTTTGATGATTCAAGTGTGGGTAGTACCTGATCATAGAACGTAGCCATCAGCTGAAAAAACGAGGCACAACCTGTTGCTTCTCGTAGAAATCTCTGGTTGACACTTCAGAGTAGTAGATTACAGAGGTTGATCAGTTTAGAACAAAACAGTTATCGGTGAGATTATCAACTTTCACTTTCTCAAACTTCTTGAAAGTGTTTTGAGCCTGTATATTAGATGAATGGAGTGTACCTTGGACGGATAGATGAGAAAATTGATATTTAAAAGTATATAATCATGAGGTATATATAATCAAAATTCGAATAAGGTAAGATTGTAGTTGTAACTTTTTCATCCTATCTCTTTATTTTCCGTTTATAAAAATTTATAAATTTTATTATTCTTGTTATCTTCGTCAAGTTCTGAAAATCAATCAAATTTAATAGACAAGACCTTATTATTTCCCATTTTTAATATTGTTGATGACTTAAATTTGTTTGATGAAGCATAAGAAGATCATGTAGGTATCATTAAAGTAGTTATAATGCTAACTTGTCAAAGCTCTAGATACAAAGTAAATACTAATAAAAAGAATATTTACTTTGTTTTCTTTAGAAATGTGAATTGGCGTATTAGAAAGATCATCTCCTCCACTTTGGTTGCCGATGAAACGTGTATCTGATATAATATCTTATAGCAGTAACATTCTTTATATGGTTCGCAGGGTTACTCATTAAATTCGTATAAATTCATAAATTCGTTTCATATTTTATAAATCCTTTGAAATCTAAATTACAAAACTTTAATCATCAAAGTTTTATAATTTTTATTTTTGAAAATCATCATATTCTTACAATATCTTTTAAAATTCACATAACTTTTTTTCTTTTCAAAATAGTCTTTTTCAATTCTAATTATATGCATCATGTTAATTTCCACAGCTTTGCAAGATTGTGTTAATCTTGAAAAGAGTTTGCAAAATTGTGTCAAGAGTGTAGCTTATTGTTTTAGTTGATTTGAACATTAAATGTAGTTAATTTGAAGATTTTGTGGCTGGAAGAGGAGGACTCAATCCAACTTACAAAAAGTCGTACTTATAGTGAATTATGAAATGCATGCAATGGTGAGCTGAAATCAATCATAATAGTCGGATTCTGAGTGATGCTAAAAAGACAGGTGTCAATTTAGATACAAATGGTTGCACCCATGTGCGCATTCTCGTAATTTGGGTACTTTCACGTGGGGTCATAGAAACACGTGTCCTCCGACCCAGATTCTCTTCATCTCTTGTCTGTCTATGAAACTTTTTGCCTGTAGCGGCCATCACTTCCTATTTTTGTTCTTTCTTCTTCACACTCTGTTTGGCTCATACAGTGGGAAACTGAACGAGAATTTTTGTTGGGTGTTAAGTGTTAATGAAGATGAAGTAGCAGCAGTAGCTTGGAGAAGCAGTGTCCCTTTGATGAGATTAGTTGCTTTCACGAAGGGGGACTCTTCCACCTTGGCCACCCTTTTCTTAATCTCATTGCCGAGAGTTTCGTCAAAGCTGCTGGAGTACCTATCTTCTCTTCCAAAACTTGTATTAAATTTTCAAAGAAAAGGGGTGTCTTGTTTAGCTTTTACCTTGTCACTGTGCGAGCGTGCATGCTTGCTTTATGTGCACAATGTTAACTCTATTAATCCCTCTCATAGGCATGTGTTATTTCATTATTCTTCCAGATTGGAGCGGTTCAAGCTGTGTCTCGTGACGCTATTTTGATAAGAAAGAATTTCTTAAAATTGTATAATATTGTTTTAAATTTCTGAAAAGGGTATAATATTTATTATTTATCATGGGAAATAAGAATTACAATCTTTGACTTTCTGAAATATTAGCGAATAATTATTTACCATCAAAATAATAACTATTCATAATATTAATTTTTAATATATTCAAAATATTAAAATATGTTAATTAACATTTAAATATATTATTTTTTATTTTTTAATAAAATTCTTAATTTTTTCTCATAAAATCTTTCCGTAAAATTAAATGTTTCTTTTTAATTTGAGATCGTTTTCATAATTTGAATTTTCTTATTCATGGTAACTTGTCTTTTAATTTTTTCTTATACTTTTTAATTTTAATATACTTTTACCTGTTTTGGACTCCCTTTGTTTCTTAAAATAGTTTTATATTTATGATAAATAAATTCAGAGCCACTTCAGAATTTAATAATCGAATTTAATTCGATCAAGTTCTACTTCAAGTGAGAGATCCACAATTTATTTACATGTCAGTTTCTTTTTCAATGATGAATATGCTTTGAGCCACTTCGAATCTAGTAATCAGACTTAATTCGATCAAGTTCGATTTTGAATGAGATATTCACATTACATCGATTTGTTGTTTCTTTTTCTCTTGGCTATAATTAATGGTGTAGCAACTTGACTTCCTCTAATATTTTCTAGTGAATCTCCCTCTCCCAGTGCTATTCAATTTTTTTATCAGCTCAAATATCACAATCAATATTGTGATTATCATTATGAATCTACTCGATTCTAATATTCTCTAGTGAGTCTTCCTCTCCCAGTGCTATCCAGTTTTTTTATCAACTCAGACATCACAATTAACATTGTGATTATCATTATGAATCTATTCGATTAGACCATAAAAATGTAGGTGATCAAATCAATGATCTCTCTTCAACCGTGTGTCTTTTGCATTTAGTTTCAGATACCTCTTTCGAATACTTATCTGTTGCAACTTGTATGTTCTAATTTTTCCCATCTCAACTCATTACAGTTAACCTTTTGAGCTTGTTCTTCAATTGTAGTATTCGATCTTTCATGAATATTAAGTATCTCTCTTCATCAATTATCTCATACTCAAAATGCTACTCTTAATATATGGAACATAATATACATCTTAGATGATCTTGAGACCGATAATCTCCCTATAGAAACAAATAATACATTGTCCTTTTATCAAGATATTTGAAGCATATACAAAAGTCGCATGATCTCCTCAACTTAATTGGTATTCGTCCCTATACATGTGGTTGCTTGCACCTGCGTTTATATACCGTATTGAGTCGTGATCGATATCTTCCCAAATTCTATTACTGTTATTTGTCGAGTTAAGATCAGTCATTAAAACTATTGCTTTGACATTCTTTCACAAAATGCCCTAACTTACCATAATTATAATACTTGTCTGAGTAACAATCCTTTACATAGTTACCAGTGACAGATCTTTTTAGGAGATGACCCCCCAAAATTTTATAACTTATATTAACATTTATGATTTTACCTCCTTCTCAATATGATTTTGTTTCCCTCTCAACATTTATGATTTTGGTCTCCCAAAACTTAATGATTATTAGATAAATCTATTTGTATATTTACAAATTTGACATATTATTCTTTCATATTCTTTTATTTTTTTACATTTATTTATTATTTATTAATAATATATTATTGATTCCCTCAAGATCAATTGTCAAGATCCGTCATTGATAGTGACCATAAGCTGTCACACGTAAAACACTCAATATTATATGTTGGTGATCGACCTTCTCTCCAACCACATCCTTTACCATGCCATATTTGTTGATTTCCTTCTTTCTCTTGATTACCTTTACCACATCTGCCTTGACTATTACGTCCTCGTCTTCTACCTCGAGTGTTCTGAGAATAGAGTCCTCTACCTTGAGTATTATGGGAAGAGAGTCTTATACCTCGTTCTCTTCTTTTATTGTTGTCTCACTTTTGGAGTGCTTGACTTGTTGGCTTTTTCTTCTTCCAGTACTCATGAGCTTTAATAAAACCAACTAGTTTTTGTACCATTTGTTTGGATGGATCCTTTTGACTTCTCTATCGGACACATTACATTCTTAAAATCATTGGTTAATGACCTCAAGATCTTCTCCACAATATATGCTTCAAAAAGTGTCTCTCAATTCTAATTAAGTTGATTCACCATGGTTTGAATGTACTCAAAAACTTCTTTCGACTCCTTTATTTTCATGTTCTCCATTTTACCATGTAGTGTTTGTATTCGAACTCGATCATTGCCTTTATACACTTTCTCCAACATATTCCACACTTCTTTTGAAGTTGTAACACTTGTTATCTTCTCAAAGAAGGATTCATCAATAACTCCGTACAACATGTATAAAGTTGTGTTATCCTTCACATGTTTCTCTTTTGCTACTGCTGAAATTACTTTATGTTCTGGTCCTTCAAAATCATCTTCGACTATATCCTAATTTAGGATCTAAGAAGGTTTTTGTCTAAAGACTCTAATTATCACATTTCATTATTTTTGTCAATGAGGACAGGTCACATTATTTGCTAAAATGGTAATTACTCTCATCAAGCTCTCTAACACTTAAATAGTCAAATCCGTGGTTATTATACCTATACCAATGCACGGAGAAATGGTTATTTAGAGATAGATTTGAATATCAATTCATGTTTACGAGTGTGTTATTTGTTTCGTTATATTCCTGTATGCAAATGAGTACAGTTGTTAACCCATCACCTAGATTTAATTGATATGGATTTATATAGGCCCCAAGGTAGGTAACAATGGTGGCATGCCTTCAGAAGTTTCTGGTCCCAAGAGACATTGTTTGCATGGACTTGAGGTATAAAATGCCAGATTGAATCAATTTGTTCGGTGTATTGTTGTAATCGAAGTTAACTAGTACACAAAATGAACTAACCCCTCCCTTAACATTTTTGTCTGTGTCATGATATTAACATTTCTTTCCCTTTTGTTTTGTACACCTAGGAGAGACCAGCAGCAAATCCCTCGAGGCCATGCTGAGTTTATAAACTTCAGCAAACAACTTCATGGTTGTTGATTATAACATACCTGAACAGTTTAGGTATCTAGCTGATAATCTTCAGTTGTCCTGTGTAATACATTTTCCATACGAATCCTAAAAAAATGGCATTATCAGCATTAATGCTTCAATAGTGATCTTGAAATCTCAATCAGCTAAACTAGGTAGCCTATGTCAAATTCACTAGTCTTTCAATTTTCGTCAGTAATTGTTCTTTTTCTTTCTTATCAGGTGAAGAACACTGGGAAAGAGTCTTTTCAATGATTAGTTACTGTTTGTAATTTAGTTTAAAATATATAAATGCCAAACTCGCAAAGAAAAGTTGAGTAATGACTACATTGTCTAGTTTTCCCATGATCATGATTTGTTCTGTCCTCCAAGCTATATATATATAATTTTTTTTTTTTTTCATCCATTAAGAGGGTTTTATGTAAAATTTCTGTGGATACCAAACTCTGTTCAAAATGTGATATGATGGAAAAAACAAGAAGAAATAACATGTTACATGTTTGAAAGAAATGTGTAATATATAAAAATATCTATACATGAAGAGAGTTGTGTACTATATGATCATGATCACTGTGGTTAAACATTTATCCAAAATTCAGGATTGGCTGCAGGAATATATTCAGGACTTACATATGCGCTGAAGGAGACTCGGGGAGCTAGTGACTGGGTAATGATTAATTATTCTGAGGAACAAACAATATTTTAAGTGAGTTGAATAAAAATGAAAAAAATTTGAAAATGATGTTATATAATTGACTCTGATGTCATTTGCAAATATCTTATTATTGTTAGCCCTGGAGAAGCTTAAGAGTACCTTCCTATAGAAAGAAACAATAGCAAGTATCCACTGTTCATTAGAGTGAAAATAGAACATATATTCATGTTTATTTCAAACTTTTATGTTTTGGAAATTTTTGGATTAATTGATTTTTCAATCACTTAAGTAGTTGTAGGTGCTGTGGTGCTGGTAAATAGTGATTTGTCATTGTGTTGGATGCAGAAAAATAGCGCAGTGGCAGGGGCAATTACTGGGGCAACACTTGCACTTACATCAGGATACTCATCTCACGAACATGTTAAGATTATGTTCAGTTTTTGTTGTTTTTTCTTGTCTTATGATTTTGAACAGTTAATGGGTACTTTAATATTTTAAGAAGAATTTGTATGTATTTTAATGTTGTTCAGTTAATCTTGGGAGGAGAGAGATCTTTCTTTCACTAACCATCGAATTGAATTCAAAATCTTAAAACACTTTGATTGTTGTTCTTCATCCGTTTAAATATTCTTCAATTTGTCCAATTGTATATATATAGTTATTAAGAGTAAAATATATCATGCAAAAGTAGGTTTTCCTATCAAAGTTATTTTAAAACATGTGTAAAAAGTTTTATTCATATAAATAATAACTCTGAGATTTATATTACGAATTTTTATAAATGATTTTCATTTAAGATCTAAACGATCAAAATTATTTTAAAATATATTAAACTTGTTTATACAATAACTCTAATTCTGATACCTACATTAATATAATTTTATTTTTAAGAATTCCTGTGAATTCTTATATATAATTCTCATTTAAGATCTTTAATTTGAAGAATAATGGTTAAATATATTTATTTATTATAATATCAAATATTTCAGTTCTTAATATTCCTTTTAATGGTCTAATTATTTCTCTATTTATTTCTCCTAGTCTCATCACGATTCCGCGACTCGATTCTTTCGCTCTTTGGGAATCTCGAGAGGACTTAAGCATACGCTGCCTAATTCCATCCTCGACAACGACGCTGCCTAACTCGATACCAAGAATTACCTACAAAGTGCTTGCCACTTCACTAAAAAGCTTACGCTCATTGTTTGCTAACCAATAAAGGAATGTCTTACAGTTCTATTTTATTAGTTTTAAAATAAAGCAATTGAAAGCAAAGAAAATGAAAGTGTAAGGTGTTACCAAGTGGATATCAACCATACTTCTTTTGGTACTTCTATTTAGTTTTTTTTGGAAATTTAGATATAATTTCCAAAATTAATTTTATAAACAATTTAAAAATAAATTATAAATTCATTTTAAACAAATGATAATATTAATGACAATAAAAAAATGTTATAAAAATAAGAATTTTTACTAATATTATCATGTTATTAATGAAAATAAAAATTATTTTTACTAATTTTATTTTTTAATTTTATAAAAATAAAATATTTTAAAAATATTTTCATGATATAATTGTCAAATAAAACATTTAATTTTACAAATTTGTGATATTTGGACTATACTTGTAGAACATTTTAATATGTTGGATATTTTATACTAAACTATAATTAATTGAATTTATTTTAACACTATAATATAAATTAACTACTAAAAAAAGTTAAAATTAATTGTTTTTTATTTTATAAAAAAATATAATAATATAAATTAACATATATTGAATATTTTGACATTAAACCTTTTATCTTTTGAGTTTAAATCTCATATATATTCGAGAATTAATCCACTTCACCTCGAATATTATGATAATAATATAAATAAATTAATTATTATTAACTCTTCACCTTATCATATTAATTATTATTTTTTTGTTTTTTATAAATAATACCTTTATTAAATTTCATTAATCATCATCCGCTATTTACATTTTCTAATTTTTACAAGGTATTTATATTTTAATATTTAATTATGTTTACATATTATGCTATAGTACAGAAACAATATTTATTTTTGTTTTTTATTTTTTATCATATTCTTTTCAGTTCCATACATCTATACTTTTGCTTATTATATTTTCAAATCACAATTTTTGCTGTTTCTAAAAAATAGTATTATATGTATTTTATTTTTTATTTTTTTTAACATACAGAAATGTTACGAATCATTTCCACTATTTTAGAAATTATCTTACCAAAAATATATATTTACAAACTTTTTTCAAACGTCATATTTTCTTTCATAAACTCTTAAGTTTTTCTTTATATTTTAATTTTTTTAAATCATCATATTTTCTTATTTACCTATGATGTTTAAAAACAACCAGAAAATTTGTCAAATTTGTCTAGAATAAATTTTCACTATGAAACATAAATTTTATAAAATATTTGCATTTTTTTAATTATTTTCTACAACTTTTGTTCCAGTCTTTTTTCTGATGATTTGTCTTTCTTGAAAGCTATGTTACCATATAAAACATATTTTACAAGTATTTTGAAAATAAAATATTTTTATAAATATAACTAAATAAAAAAAATATTTCATATAAATTTATATTAGATAAATTTTTATTCCAATATAATAGATATAATTTTTAATAAACATTTATCAATACACGGTTAGTGACTTAACTTCATTATAATTTTGTATTTTTTATAAATATTGTATTCTTAATTTTTATTTTTTATTTTTTTCAGTACTAACTAATAGCAATAATTTACATAATAAATTTTTAAATAATATATTATTAAGAGAAATTATTTAAATAAAATATTTTAAATTTATTTATTTATTAAAATTATACACAAATTTTAATAACAGAAAATAAAATTATTTAATATCATAATAAATAAAATTATTTGTTATTTTTATAGTTTTAAATAATTAATTAATTTTTTAATTTTAATATTGATTTTTAAAAAATAATTTTAATATATTTTTATTAAATTTTAATTAGAAGAAAAAATGAAAAAAAAGGAGAAAAAAATATAAGACAGAAAAGAAAAAAAGTGAATGAAATGAGAGGAAAAAACAAAATATAAAGAAAAAAATTATATATAAATAATAAATAAATTTATTTGAAAAATAAATTAATAAATATTTTATTTAAATAATATTTTAAAAAAATATTATTTATAAAATTGATTCGAAAAATTATATATAAATATTAATCAAATATTTTTTAATAAAAAAATTAATAGAATTTTTATTTATATAATTTCTTAACAATATATTATTTAAAAGATTGATTTAAAGGAATATTAGTAACGAGCATCACCCTTTCTCTCTCTTCCTCTGAATTATCATCCACCTTCCTCTCAAATCTGAATCAAGTATCCCAATCCGCGCAGTTAAAGTGACGAGGTGAGTTAGATTTTTTATTTATTTTTTTCTTAATTTTTCTTCCAAGAGTTGATTCCAAAATGTTGATTGAAAAATGAATCCAAGGGATATTGTATAGGGTTTCGATTCGTTCGATTAACCTTTTTTTTTTTTTCACTGTAGAATAATAACCCTATTTTTTCTATTTTCGTAAGTTTGTAACTTGAATGCTTTATTTTCTCCTGCTGTAATTACAGGCGTTGTTGTTTCGTAAATTATAATTAGTTTTGGGGAAAATTGATGCTGCAAAGTTTATTTGTCTGTTGTTAAAGTCAAATTTGAGGCCATATATGATAAGAACATGACTAGTAAGAAGGAAGAGAAATCTCAGGCTGCAGCTGAAAGAATCAAGGCTGCGACCCTGAGTGCTGCTAAGGGTCTTAGCCGAGCCCAGGCTGAAAGGGCGGCTGCTGCGGCGGCCCGGAATGTCAATGCTTATGGGCAGAAGGAAGAAGGGCCTAGCAGATGGCAGGAGAAAAGAGAAGCTAGGAGGCAGATGTATTTGATGAGTACTGAGAAAGCTGTTAAATTGGGTGAAAGGAAAGACCTTAAGCCTGCAATGGCGGCTGCTGGTGGAGCGGCACTGTGCCAAAAGTGTTTCCAAAGTGGCCACTGGACATATGAATGCAAGAATGAACGGGTTTACAATTCAAGACCTTCACGGACACAGCAACTAAAAAACCCTAAGTTGAGGTTGAATAACTCAGTGACTTATGATTTGGATGATAATGTTGCTCATAAGGCAAAAACAAGTTCCACACAAACCAAAAGGAAGCATAGGTCTGACTCTGATTCTGGAAGTGATAGCGAGGATTCAGTTTTTGAGACTGATAGTGGCAGTGGGTCATCTTCTGGTACGGGGTCAGATTATTCTTCTGAAAGTAGTTCAGGTTACAGCTCATCTTCTGATTCAGAGGAAGAACGAAGAAGAAGGAGGAGGAAGAAGAAGCAGAAAAGAGGGAGACGGAAGAGGTACAGTACATCTTCAGAATCATCTGAGTCTGATTCTGCTTCAGACTCTGATTCTGATGATAAAAGCAGCAGGAAAAAGAAGAGGCATAATCGAAGACACTGAATAAGATTAAGAATGTGAGGAGCAACCAGGTCCATGGATACAATGATTAAGTTTTGGCAGATATGGTGCTTGTTTATGATGTTTGTAATGTAGAATGAGCTTTGGTAGATGCTAAGTTGTGCCTTTTTTTTCTTTGATTACAATGCTATCTTGAAGAGACTTGCAAATTAGGTTTAATAATTCAACATTGAACGTTGTGATGCGCTCTATATTATAGTAAGATGTTTAAGAAGTTGGATGGCTTTTGCAATTGATCACAAGCTGTCTTACTCGCATACTCTCATTTGCAATGTAATTCTTTGTATTTTTTAGGCTTTCTCTGCAGAGTTGCTTCTTGCATGTTGTCTATCGATGAGGGTTTTCATGCATCTAGATTACATTAAAGAACTGAACTTGGAGCTTATTGTAACATCAGCTGTGTTGGCTAACTCATCAATCTGACTTGTGTTTGGTTGGATTTAGGGAATATTAAAGTCCACCCTTTAAAGTGGATTTTCGACCCATTACAAAAACCGGGGAAACACCCAATCAATCTGTTTTTTCAGCGGATTGGATTGGTTGACCTCTTTAACACCCCTAACAATGAACAACGTAAGCTTTTAGTTTTCATGCTTCTGGTGGATCCCTAATGTTTTATTCTACATTCGATTGTGGCTTGTGTTGTTACTAACTATTTTTGATGGATCTTCTTATCTCCGGAAGCCTGTTTGGTTTGTGTGTCAAGGATCATGCATAATTGAGCCTTTCATAATTGACTTGGTTCTTGCACATTCTCTATATGAGGTATTCCCTGCGTCTAGACTACATCAAACTAATTGACCTCGAGCTTAATCTGTTGGCATAATATGATTCTCGTTAGCTTTTGGTTTCAATGCTTCAGGTGGATCTCTTTTGTTTTGTTCCCGGTCAATTGTAATTAGTATTATTATATTAATACTGTCTTTTATGGATCTTTTAATCTCTGGAGACTTGTGTCGTGTGTGTTTCAGGTCATGAATAGCTATGGTTTAATTTAAAATTTTGTTGGGGTACTACCTTTTTTTATAATTTTGTTTAGTTAGAGCTCAAACATTATTTTTATAATTCCATTGTAGAGAAATATGTTTAACAGGACTCATGGTGTGTTTCGAGACATGCACCTTTGATTTAAAGGACTGATTCATCAACACTCAAGGGCTATGACTCTAACCATATATCTAGCAACACAATTTAACATATAAGTATTGTGAAGTTCTAACTCGTACACCAAGGATAGAATTCTCACAAAATTTGATTGAACTGGAAATGAAATCTAACATATTAAGGGTACTGTGTCCAACTGTAACTTGAATATAATATTGTCAAAATGGAGCAGGTGGGCCCTCTGATTTGACCAAAGGGTGTGTAGCTACACCGAGTGGAGAGGGTATTTGTTGTTAGAGGTAGTTTCTGGGTATGTTGTGTGTTATTGGTACTTATGGATGGAACAAGACAATCACTGTCAATAAATATCTATTCAGTAACTTTATTTATTAATAAATAATAAAATTTAATTAATTTTATTTTAAATCAATCATTTTATAAATATAATATTAATAAATAAGATTGTATAGTAAATTATGAATTTAATCATTAAATTCATAATTAAAAAAATAAAAATATCTAATTAAAAATTATAATAATAAAAATTTCTTTTTAATAAGGATTAATATTATATTTTATTTTAATTTTTATAAATTAAAATTATGATAACACATTATGTCTATTACATTGAGAAAGTTTATAAAAATTATTTCTGTTGAAATAATGGTCACTTAATGGATTTATTATATTATTTTATAAGTAACATACCATTTGATTTTATAATTAAACATGTGAATTTTTTGTGTTAAATTTTTTATTAAAACAAACTATTAAATCTTGAACCATTTTATTAAAGATACCAGTCAGTATGACATCCGGTAGTTTTTTCAAGGTTTAAATATATATATATATATATATATATATATATATATATATATATATAATTCCTTTATCTATTATCTTTAATTTATGGAAACTAACAAATAAAATTGATCATAAACAATAGTTGTCATTGCATAATTATTTATTCATTCTGATACTTTAATTAATTATAAGTTACAATAAAATATTCTTTTATCCTCTGATCTTTTAATATTGCTATAAATTATTATTACCTTTTTATCTTCACATTTTAATTAAATATGTTTTAAATATTTATATATATAAAAAAGGAATATAGTTCTTCAAGGATATAAGGTTGAAATGGAACCTACTTCCCCTTCTCAGCGAAGATAGAGAGAGACACAGAGTATCGAGTAGAGAGAAGAGGGATTAGGCTTCACTCTATTCCTAGCATTTGGATTGAGAGATGAGTACCTTGAAATTTTGCCGCCGATGGTCGTTGCCATTATCCTCTGTTTCCTTTCATTTCTGTTTCTTTGTTTTCCATGATTGTGAATTTTTTGTAATACATATTCTTTTATTAATGCTTTCGTCTTTCTTCTCCATTTCGCAGCAACAACGTTCTGTACCCGACGGAGGACAAGGTGAACAAGATTCTTCTCCACTTTTGCCGCTACTGCAATCACGGGGTTCTTCTTCTTTCTCTTTTCCTTTCCATTTCTAATTTCTTCTTCAGTCTTTCCATGTGCGTCCATGTTGCAAGTGGTTTTAAGAATACCATAAGAAGTTCTCCCAGAGAATGATGTTGGATTTTCTTGGGAACGTAATTAGAATCAAAACGTTGCTTTTGAAAATGGCCTCAAGCCTTAGAAAAGTATGATGCTATTAGGAATCCCAAGTTGAGAAGGATAAACTACTTGATGTGACACTTAAGCCTTGAACTTCTCTCATTTAATGGACTTGTATTTTGGGTTGGGTTGAACTTTTCTCTTGTGCTTAAGTAGTAACAATTGGTGCTTTTGTTGAGAGTTGGGCTATATGGAAAGGCCTACCTATAAGTTGGATTAAGGTGCAAACTGAATACAGTAAAGCCATCTAAGAGGAAAGGTCTACCACTGAGTCCGTGTTGATAAAGTGAAGTCACCATGGACTTAGCCCTCAAAGGGGTGACAATGTTAGGAATAGCATTTAGTTGGATAAGTTACTTATGCCATCGTCTTCAGATTCTCCCACCTAATGAACTAATCTTTTGGGTTGAGCTTTCTTGTGCTTAATTCGTAATTTCAAACTAGATATTGCATTTTGGAATCTCTGACAGGAGTGACATTTCTTCTATATTTCTGTTAGGTCCCAAGGAAAGCTTCCCATACCTATTTAATGTGAGAATAAGTTTGTTTTGCTTTCACTCGCAGTTGACTTGTATTTGCAGAGGCATCTGACCTCTACACGGGGGTGTTTCTTTTTTATTCTGACTTCACCGTTCTTGTGCCATGCATTTTTACAGTGAATGTTTGTGTTTCCACTTCATGCAAAAATAAATGAGTATTGACTAACACTCTGCCTTTGATATGTCATGTGTCTGGCCATTGTTTCTAGGGCTTAAAAGTTACTTTGAAGTTAAAATTTCATGGGTAATGTGTTATTGATTTTTGGGATTTGAAAGAAACAAGAAATAGAAGACAAAAGCTCCTAAAATTGGCCTCTTTAAAATTACAAAAGTTCCTTTCTGAGAATTTCGCTTCATTTAAAAAGCTTATCTTAAAATTCTGTTTTGCCCAACTCGTATTCCTCCTATGTTCTCTTTCGACTATTTCCTTTTGTCTTCTACTCTTCCATGGCTCTCCCAGACCACCCCATTAAACTTTGCGCTTGTCTCACTTACTTTTCACACTACTTTATTGTGTTAGTTTTATATTTATTTTTGTTGACGAATTTTATAATTCAACGGAAGGTTCAAAAATAGATCTTTTGCATCTCAATTCAACTACTATGGAAATACCGGACCATTCATGAGTGAAATTCTTTTAACTTACATATCATAGCAGTCTTGTCAACAATTTGTGCTTTGGAAATTAGAATTTTTACACAATATTAGTCAGGGTAAGAAAGTCCTGTACATTCTATCGTTTTTGGTTTAACTTACTGTCACCCTTGTTTTTCTTATGAAGAAAACTATTTCAACGGACCACATTCAGTTTTGATGTCATCAGTTCAGTTTGGATATGACTGTGATCAGTTTTTCACTTTGAGCAGGAAATTGCAGATAATAACATTGTCTATAGAAATAAGATACATCATTCTGTTCAAAGGCGCGCTCGAGAGCCGGAAAGTGTAGCTGCAGATCCGACACTTCCTCGCACAAAGTCTGTTCGTTGTTCTCAATGCAACCATGGAGAAGCTGTCTTTTTCAAGGTTAGGTCCTGCTGACTATGGAAGAGAAGATTTATTTTCATGCTTATGAATACAACGTTAATTCCACATTTAATGGGAAGAGAGGGGGAATGAGGGTGATTAGGATTTCCATTGTGCATATTTTCATTGGCCATTGTGCATGTTGGCAGTGATGTCTCTTCTTCCTTGATCATGCAACCTTATGGCCAGTTCTTTGGACTGTATGTCCATCGTTCCAGCTAGGCTTTTTGCCCCCTGTGGCCATCTTGTGTATTGCCTCACCTCGTCTTTCTAGCTATTGTTTAAAGATTTTTTTCCGGTTGCATTTTTATGAGTTTTTATTTTTAATTTTTTTACTTTTGTATCATGTTTATTTGTAGCAAAGTGGGATTTTACTTGTTTTGTGTTCAAATAAATTTATATTTTCAATCTTATTCAAGGGAGCTTTTGTTAAAAGGAAATAGAATTCTAAAAAATAATCAAATTCAAAATATGTATTGAAAGCTATGTAAATAAACTTAAGCTTTGGAATGGTGTTAAAATATCGAGAATTTTTAGAATAGCTTATTGTTGAATGAATTATTTATCTGATTGAGAAAGCTGTATAAGTCATATTACACTAATACTTTTGTTATCAATACAAGTACAATAGGACTGTCGGATTAGTATTTGTATCACATGTCCAACATCATTGTTTATTATATAGCCTCCTTTTTCTTCCTTCACTGCCTAATGTCTGTAATTTCTTCAGTTTTGGAAAGCTTGACACTTTGTCAGCATGGCTTGTTAGTGATCTATGATTCATAATATTGTCATTTCAAATATCGCTGTCCTTGGAAGATTTCCGAAATGCGTAGCGCAGGTGTTGCCACTTATAGTTTTAAAAATTGCTTTACTAAAATGAGAAGATGCAATACTATGACCCTATTTCTTATAATATTTTGTATCCAAAAGTGAAATTGATTTTCTTTTGCCCTGTTAGAAGTTTTTAATATTTCATGGAAGTCACTCTCTTGTTGGAATGCTAAAATTGTTCCTAAATAACACTACACAGTGCACCACAGTGAGGCCACTCCTATTATTTGCAAATATCCATGAATTACTTAACTATTTAATTCTACCATGCTATCTGCATATTCAAATAAGATGAATGTTTAATGACGGATTAGGATAAATGGATCGTTTCTGACATTTGTAACAAAAAAGATCATTCATGTATCCTAATATGTGATTATGCATGAAGAAACCATGTTTTAGCTAGTTTGGGGTGTTCTGAAATTTCTGAATGTATGTAGGCAACGGCCAAAGGGGAAGAAGGCTTGGCACTCACTTTTGTTTGCTGCAACCCAACATGTGGCAACCGTTGGAGAGACTAGAACTCTATCCTAGAACTCTAACCGTTGGAGAGACTAGAACTCTATCCTGCTCGAGACATTGGGGAATTTAGCATATCAAATTCATTCTTGGATTGGTGAGAAACTTTGTATATAAAACTTGACTGCTGTGAAGACGTTCGCAATTAGTATTTGCTAGTATTTGCTGTGAAGACGTTCGCAATTAGTATTTGTTCACCACGGTTTAAATGCCCTAATCATTCTTACCGATGTGGGTAGTGGTTCAATACTTTACTAAATGGGTTATTGATAGGAACTAAGAATGAAATGAATAGTTAGGTATGCATGGTTATCAAACTCGCTGACTCGTACGAGTTAACTAGTCAAATAACTGGGTACGAGTTATCTTGTGAGTAGATTTATTTTAGAGTAGATTCGAAGTCAAACTCGGTAAACTCGGTGGACTCTAAGTAAAATCACGAGTTAGAGGCGAGTCACCGAGTTTGAAGAAAAAGAAAAAGAAAAACCTAGATATTCTCCGACTCTCTTTATTTCTTCTTACAAGTTCAGATCTCATTCATTTTCACTGTTCGTTGCTGCTTATCGTCGGTGTTCGTTGCTGCTTATCGTTGGTGTTCACTTGGGTCGCACAGTGGTTGTGCGATGGTCACACGGTGATCGCGTGATATTCACCTGGGACGCACGGTGGTCGCTTATTGCAGTTGCTCGTCGCTGTTTACCGTCCTCTAGTAGGTTAAGGAATTGAGGAGGTTAGATGGAGGAATTGAAGGATTTGAGATTTTAGGATTTCGAATAGATGGAGAGATTTTAAATATTTAGTATTTTTATTTTTTAATTTTGATTATATTGTTGTATAAATTTAATTAATTTTTTATTATTTTAATAATGAGAAATTAATATTATTATATTTATTATTAAATTAATATTTTGTAAATTCTTACAAATTTAAGAATCTAGTTTACTGATCTCTCACAAATTTCGATTTCGAAGATTTCAAAGTTGATAATCTTGTAGATATGTATCAGTTTAGATTATGGAATTAAACAGTGATAGGTTGATAGCTATACAGCACACAAAACAACCTAAAGAGTCGTAGACTCCTGATGAGAGTAACTCTCCTCCAATCAGACTAACAATTCCCCTCCCCCTCTCTCTCATATACTCGAATCCCACATAATAGGGATTTCATCCTCATTTCCTAACTAACTTCTCACTCCTTCCTCATGGCCATACTTTCTTCCTCCTGGTATAAATTTTCCATAGCCTAACTACCCCGTCTATAATTGTTTGTTGTTTAGTAACAGACCCACGCTTATGCATTTCGTTTATGCAAAGGCAAGCCGTAGTATTTAACGTAAGGACGTGTAATCAAATAAAAAAACCGAAGACTTCTTGACGGCTTTATGTTCGGATTGATTGAAAGGAACTACATGAATAAGTTGAAACAAAATGAAATTATGTTGTATATTTGGATTATTTAAAATTAGGAGTGATCAAGTGGAACAACAAATAAATTTTAACGAAAAAGAAGATTTAACTCCCTTTTAACTTTACTCCTTTAATTAATCCTTAAATTTTACTTTGGAAGTAAATGCCAATTTTTATTTATTCTAATTTATCCTTCAATTTGTCAATTTTTTTTAAATATTTTTTTTAGATTTGAGCAAAATAATTCACATTAAGTTTCCATATTTCATTAATATATTTTTATGTTAAAATTTATCTTTATATATTAAACTTCTATAAAAATAGTATTTTACAAATAAAAAATAACAAAAAAAATTAAAAGGTTGTTTGATTTTTTTAATCCTAAATTTTATTATGTTTTAATGTTTGTAAATGATTACATATCATATACTAAAAATTTATAACTTTATTATAATTAATTTAAAATCTTATGATATTTTAATTGATTGTAAAGTTCTAGTAATTAAATTTAATGAATATTATATTTTTTATACTAAATATTAAAATATATGTGTTAATCTTGTGTCATTCATTTAACATTATATATTTTATTCACTCATTTGTATACTAACAAAATAATAAAGTTATGGTAAGATTTATTCTATAAATCGAGGATCATGTTTCTCTTTATTAAACTGAAACATGTTAAAACATTTTCAAGAGGTAACGTCGTATAAACAAACCTTTGGAGGAAAGTGCCAAGAAATCACGTGTGTTAATTGGTTTTTATTATTTTCTTTATTCTAAAATTTTATGTTATGTTAATATGTGAAAAATGAATTATAAACACAAGAAAAATATTAATGAACCATTGACTTTTAATAAAAAAATATTCAAGAAAGAAGTATGTACTATAGTAACCACGAAATAGTGCTATCTTAGAAATCCCCTAATTATATCACTTAGCTATGGTTATATAAATGTCAGGAAGGTTAAAAAAGAAATTCTCATTTTATCTTTATAAAACTCTGTAGAATACTAAACTCATCACTTACCTGAGCATTAAAGTATTTTTGCAGATACCTCTCATTAGACCCTAGAACTAATCACCCCGACATTCGAAGTGACCTGACCAAGAAGCTACACGATAACTAATGGAAGGAAAGGTTAGTGTTCGACCTTACAAGAACATAATTGACGCCCACTATAGGGCTCAACGTAAATGACCAATGGTATTTATCAAAAATACGGTTAACGCATAACGACAAAGTCCACCAGGAAGAGAAACCCACACGAGTGAAGCAACCCTTCTAGCCGAGTTGAGGAGAGAACTTGAGAATTTTACGGAGAGCTCAAAGAAAATTTTAGCTTTAAAAAAGGAAAACGACTGCATCAAGAAGCGACTAAAAGAAAAGGAAGGAGAGCAAAACCCAAAAAGTTCAAGAACATAAAAAATGGAAGGACACACAAGCAGTACTCATCTCTTATCCCCTGCTTCATAAACACCAATGTGCTTTGGCACTAGCGGTCCCTTGAGGAGAACACCGAATTCGATATTGACCAACAAGTCGCACTGACATCCATTTGTCGATAAAATCATCGAGGTCCCTTTGCTAGCCTCGTGGAAAGGTTTAACGATAGATCGGTACGATGGGACCGTAGACCCGGATGAACATATACTCATATAAGCCTCTAAACGATTGATGTCACAATTCTGTATCGGGTATTCCCTACCTTGTTGAAAGGGGCCACGTTGAACTGGTTCACGATATTACCCCCATACTCGGTCGATTGCTTCAAAACTCTTGTTGTTAAGTTTAGGACGCAATTCACTATCAGTCGACCGCACCATCTCACGTCAATTGTACTCGTCAATACAAGACAAGAAAAAAAGGAAATTCTTAGGACATTCATGGAGAGGTTTGGGAGGGTAGCTTTGAACATAAGAAACCTAAACCTAGAGGTTGCCCTGCATCACTTGGTGACAAAACTCAAGTCGGGATCGTTTGCTAATAACTTGTGTAAAAAGTCAACAGGGGATCTTGACGAATGAAGAAGGGTGGCGAAATTCATGCAGTTGGAGGAGTTAAGGGAGTATCGCAATGAGGCAATGACAGGTAGTTCTGCGAATTTTCAATTGGTTAAAAAGGATCGAGAAAAGAAAATACAACTCCACAACAAAGCAACAAAACTAAAACCCCCCCGATTCATTCGCTATACCCGTCTAATAGCTAGTCGAGAACGAGTCTTAAAGAAGCATTAAACACAGACTTAATTCACACGACGAGGAAAGTGTCAAACCTTCCTAATCCGATCATAGTAAACATTGTCGATATAATCGAAACTATGGACATTCAACCAAGGACTGTGTTGCCCTGAATGATAAGATCGAAGAACTTATACAAGCGGGACACTTATGAAATTCCATGAAGAGAAATGATCAATGGACGTATGGACGTCGAGAACACGAGTACACAAGCAACAAAAAATGCCAAAGGAACCTAGATCATGAAGAGTCACATGGCGCCATCTTCAGGGGGTAATCAACAACATTGCAGAAGCGTTCGTAGGCGGAGGCTCCTCTAATGCAACAAGGAAGAAGCATTTGAGGACAATTTAAGCTGTAAACACCACGACCACGCGACGACACTTTATGCCGACCATTACCTACACGGATGAAGATTGTCATGTCATAGACCTGAACCACGACGATTCCATGGTCATCACTGTGGATACCTCCAACTTTGCGGTCCGTAAAATATTGATAGACAAGGGAAGCTCGGTCGACATATTATACTGGAGGACATTCCAACAATTGCAGCAGGCCGAGGACGCTATATACCCCTTTCATGAACAAATACTCAATTTTTTTGGGGAAAGAGTCGATACAAAGGGGTACATCACCTTATATACCAAATTAGGCGAAGGAAACCAAGAATGTTGCTTTGTGAAGGTGAGATATCTAGTAGTCAATGCAACATCTTCCTATAATATATTCCTCAACTGGCCCTCTTTGAATGCCCTTTGAGCAATAATGTCCACACTACACCTAGTGATGAAGTTTCCAACGAGTATTGGGAGAGCGTGAGAATGTTATGTAGCAAGCCTGAAGTTGTCCTCATCATCAAACACACGAGCCAGCGTACCGTCACTAGTGATAACAATGGTGGATCGATCTAGATCCCTGCACTAGCGACGATACTCTGGTTGAGCCCTAAGAAAGGACCATCCCATGTCAAGTAGGAAATGAAGGACACAACACACATGTAGGAACAAAGTTGGGAGAGGAAGATTGTTGGATAATCAGGGAAACCTTGATTGAAAATGTGGACTTATTTGCGTGGACGACCGCGAATATGCTCGGGATTGATCCTAGGATAATTTCTCATTAGCGAGTAATATGTCGGGAGGCAAGACCAGTCACTCAGAAAAAATGAAAAATGGGGGAGGAACGTCAACAAGCAATGTAGGAGTTAGGTAAACATTAAATGCATGTAGTTGAGAGGTAGTGGTTATAGAGGTAGTAGTTGAGAGGTAGTAGTTATATTGAATGTATGTAGTTGAGAGATAGTGATTGTATTGAATATATGTAGTTAAAAGGTAGTAGTTGTATTAAATGCATGTAGT